GGGCCATTGCCTGGGGCAAACAAACATGTTTCCTAGGAGATGAAAGGTAACGATGTTACACCTCAGGGGGAGGGGGTGAGAACTTATAATTACTTTCGTCGGTTATTCTCTTTCGCTAACATGTATGTTGCACTCGGCTGCCGTCGGCGGTCTTGGCTAGGGAAGCTCGGGCTCGGTTGAGGACAGGATGGTTACTAATGGGTGAATCAGAACTCCCAGCGTACATTTTCCACTATGTACACCTGTCTATTTACAATAATAAATACATTAAGAAAAGGCCTGCTCTTATCAGTTTACATGACACTTCTCGCTAAACTCATTCTACCGTCCTAGTTGTGAAGGGGAGGTGCCTGAACTGCACTCCTATCCTCGTCTGCTACTGTACATACATTCCTACCCTGTTCTACCCTGACTCTCACTTGGTTCACTGGATACTGCCTCATTATCTCCCAATAACACTTGAATTCACACAACCTTTAACAGCATGGCGTATATGAGCAAAGAGACTTACTTGCAATACAAATGTAGATTACAGCCGTTGTCCACCCTCTTATGGTATACATGTCGCCGAGAGCCTCCGGCTGACAACCGAATATTCTGTGATAGAACGTCCCCAAGTCCCCCGAAATTCCCTCATTTAAGGGTTTATTTCCGCTGATTCAGCCTTGACGAAAGAGGGTGGGTGACTCCCCCCTCAGTGTCCTCAATCCTCATAATAACCTCCTCATTGGCTCTCATGGGTGGTTGTGGGCGGACCCCTTGCGTCTGATTGCTGTGTATGCGGTCTTGTTCGATTAAATCCAGTGAACTGAGTGAGGCAAGTGTCTTGCTTTGTGAGTACACCGAGACTTGCTGAGTCTTCACATTCTTAACCTAATTGCCAGTCCCGGTGTTTACAATTTACGGCAATAACTGCGAAACTCTTTTCGCAAGTCTTTAACATTTGGGTAATACCATACTCTTTCTAATCTCAAATTTGGGGCATCACAAACGAATTGTTCAAAGCGTTGCATGACAACAGAAGGTTCATTGCATAGCAACCGCCAAGGCAATGAAAGACTGAGTCGGGGCAGTCAGCTCTCGGAGTTACATGTGAGAGAAATTGTAGCAGCGGAAGCTCACCAATTGGAACCAAGACTACAGAAGAATACAGGAGGTCAGTCTGTGAGGATATAAAGTGTAATATAGAAGATGACACTTCCATATATACATTTCATGACGCGATAACCAGATCAGGATGCAGAACGTGATTGTTGACCAGAATACTACATATAAGTGCCGAGTCAAGGCGAGCCAAGACTTCGTTGCTATGCAGTGTTGCGGTAAACACCTCCTGACAGCGTTGCCTAACAACGCCTCTGTAACTACGGCAATTATGCAACAGAGGTCAAGCTGCATTTCCCACTTGTCCGATTGATGGTTCTTAGGAGAAACTGCAATTCCATTACCCTGTGTGGAGGCGGGGTCGAATAGCTCCACTGTGACCCTGTGAGTCGTAGGAGGTGACATAAAGGGAAGTCTCAATTCTGAGACAGTAAAATATGGTTGCGAGTCCCAAGGGCCTCAGACCCGAGGAAGACTGCGCTGGCAAGGGCCTGCAGCATATACAAAAGACAGACCCATCTTCTCATCAGAGAAGGCGCTCCACAGAAACAAGACCGTAACTGTCAAACGGTAATAATTAATATCTGGTCATGAGCCCCAAATGGCTCGACATCAAGACTGACCGTCAGTTGCAATGTGACTTTGACTTTGAGATGAATACTGTATTGGGATAGCCATCGCCGAAGACAGTTGAGATCCAGCCACGGTCAGGGAGTTGAAATATAGCAGCCGCCAGAGTAACAGTGAAGAATAGATGACTTCACCGAGATCAGCAGTACAAGAAGTAATTATAACAGTGAAGTAGTGGATAATAATTATACTCGTAAGTGTGTAAACATGTGTGTTCAATAAAGATTTGCTAAATCCGAGACCCAGTAAAAGTTATTTGTCATGTGACATACACAACACGTGACAGTATATTTTGGGTCCCCCCCTAGGCCAGGGACCTGGGTCAAATGGTCCTCCTGTATTTGGACCTGTCTAGACATAACCTTGTTTCAGCAAAAGTCAGCAGTGTCATACTGACTCATAGCACTGCAATATAGACTCAAAAAGTGTCATTTATTGCTGTCATCTTCTTGTCATAGCATAACTAACTCAGATTAGTTTTACATTTTGTTTCCATGAAAATGACATAATGACAGAGTAACAAACATGACAAACTGCCCTGCTCAGGTTAAGTATATATAGATGTCACGTCTTCTGAAATTTTGTCATGTGAAGAAGGTGAGGTTTATGGGACTGTAACAGACATTTGTTTGTACTCTTACATAGTTTATAAGTTCATCAGTGATTAAGAGATTCATTTATGGGGCTGCAGTATCATTATCTCTACCAGGCCTGCACAAACTTCCTATAAATCTAGGAGCCAGAATAGAAAGCATAATAGCTCAGGTGAGAAACTTGCTCATTTTAATAATAATAGAACAACTGAAACATCTGTGTTTAAATAATAGCCCATTATTTTCACACTCACTGAAAACCCAATGTGCAGTTGTGAGGATACAGAAAATGTAATGTATTTTCTGCTGCTGCTAGAACATGGGGACAAGAATGATGATTGGGATGACAAGTAAAGAAATGGAGAAAGAATACAGGAGAGAATAGGGAAGGAAATTAAGGTACAAAAGGGATGAAGGAATGGAAAGAGAAATATGATTTTCTGCATCATCTTTTGATAGGTGGTGCACCGTTAATAATATAATAGGAAGAAAATTGTAGACAACCTGGTTCGCAAAGTCTGTGCAAGCCTGATTTGGCAGATAAATTTGTAAGCCAGTGAACTTCCTGTCTGTAGAGGTGATGTCAACAGTTGACCATACTGGTTCCTGAATTCCTGCCACATGTGGTTCAGTATCAGACTTGTTGCAACTGGCTTCATCACTTCTGTTCCTATCTTCATGATTAAATTTTCAGTGCTGCAAAACGTTGGCTTATTATTACATGTTGGTAGACCATAACTGTTACAAGCTTGAAATAATTGGCGAAATCAAGACAAAGGAAACATGTGAAACACTAGCTACCACAGATGATTATGGGTACTCATGCCAAGCAATGGCTGGCAGCCACTTAGTGTCAAAAGGCTGCTGTGCCGTTGATGGGGTTAGTATGCGACAGTAGAAAGCAGTACTTTTTGGGGCTATGCCATTGTGTTGTTTAGTTTGAATACTTTGACATTTCACAAAGTGACAGATGCGATAACAAGTGGCATTCATTTCTGTATGAAGTGATTTGAAATTCAGGGCTCTGTGTCATAATGCTGGTGCCTGTAGTGAATGGAATTTGTTGTCTTGTATATAATTGTAGACCATATTTTTAAACACCATACAGTACAGGCCATTGTTTATTTGGTTATGGTTTATTTAGTGATGCTGTTAATGGCTCAGACTGTGTCACATTGAATGATACAATGATTTGAAAATAAAAAATTGTAAAAGATAAAGAAGGAAGTGGTCATTACCTAATTGGGTTGCCAACCTGAAATTTTTTGGGAGGGGTTGTCGAAAACCACGAGAGTCCCAGTTTGGATATTTGAACTGGGCACCTCCTTGGTTTGTTAGAAGCAATACCACTTGAGCCATCTTGCTTGCTGAGAAGTCTCATCATAATAGTAATGATAGGCTCTGCCATAGCTCAGGTGGTTAGTCCCTGGCTTACCACCACAACAGCCCGTGTTCAATCTCAGGTCAGGTCATATGGGATTTGTGATGGACAAAGCTTTTCTGGGAAGGATTTTCTCAAAGTATTTTAGTTTCCCCTGCCAATTCTCATTCTAGCAACCTCTTCGCATTAATCAATCATCCACGCTGCATAGACTCACTGCTGACAATCTTATTAAATAAGCAACTTTAAAAAATGGTAGTGATGGTCAGTATTGAAAGGAGCAGTAGATATCTATGAACCAAGATAGCTCAGTCAGTATAGTGAATAGACTAGAGGCTGTGCAATATAGGAATTGGTTTTCTTATGGCAAGGCAGATTTTTTTATCTTCCACAGCCTCCAGACTGGCTGTGGGATCCATGTAACCTTCTCTCCAGTGTATACTGGGGGTTTCTTCCCTGAAAATTAAATGGCTGGGACATGAAGTTGACCACTGACCTTCTATTCCCAATAGTGGGTATGAGGAGCTACATCTCCACTCCCCAATACTTTTTCATGGCATGTTGTCTAATTAAGCACAGGAACAACTTTACCATTTTAGTAGCAATCTGAATGATTGTGTGTCCTACAAATAAAATTCTTGTGATGGATGTGTCATAACAGTGATGTCATGTGTGCATGTGTTTATTGCAGGAGAGTGGAGACAAGCTGATTGCTGCTGTATCGCAGACAAGAGCCTGGCCTGTCAGTCCTGTTCGTTGCCTGGCATGGCACCCACACTGCACCAAGCTGGCTGTTGCAGCTTGGGATGATTCAGTTCATGTGTACAGCTCAAACACATTCCTCACACCCATTCTAAAGTGCAAGAGTCAGCGTGCTGTGTCCTCTATGGCATGGAGGTTTGAAATAACTCTGCTATATTTGTATTTCACTCATTAAAAGTATAATTTGAGAGCTTAGGGGTTGGTATAGTAATATTATTAAAGAGAACAAATCTTTGAACTCTAGAGGTCAAACTGAGAAATACTGAAATTCTGTGTGGCTAATAAAATTAGTTGCATTTGTGATGAAATTAAGAATGTTAAATTTGAAGAATACCTGCTACCATTCAGTTCAGAATATTTTTGTCTTCCTATATCCTCTTAAAAATGTAAAAACTTAAAATGGGACTGTAGAACGCTATGAGGCCAGGCTTCCCTCTGTGTCAGAAACACAGCATTGCTCGCATGGTGTTTGTAATGTGTTTAACAATCACATTGAAGTGAACAAGAATGATTATCAGTCAAAATATGAAGCCTGTTGTCCTTGATATAACCACTCTCATTCACTTCAGTATGTCTGTTAGTGTGTCACAAATGCTTCATTTCTGACACTGATAATAATCCTGGCATAATTCTGATTGTTGCTTTTGTATGGGGGAAAGAATAAACACAGAGAATGTTTGAGAACAGGTGTTCAGCAGAATATTAGGATGCAGGAGAGAGGAAGCAGATTACTGGGAGGAAGGGCACAAGGAAGAGAAAGAAGCTGCCACATACAGGGCGATACATAGCCAGCACATTTACCACATGGTTAGCCTGTTTCTGATCCCCAGTCTGAAGCAGCATTTAGATATGGCCAACCCAGTTTCCCCTAAGTTTCTGGCAACATTGTAATGGCACACTCTGGGCACAATGCATTCCATTAGAACAGAGCTGCCATATCAGCACAGCATAAGGAGGATGACTCTCCAGGTATCTACACTGGTAGGTGATGTTAACAGCACCATGCCAAAGAGGAGAGTGAGTATGCAACAGGTGGAGTAGATGGGACTTCAGTTTTCTTGTTCTGTGTCATGGCAGATTATTACAGGAGGTGCAGAAAATTACTTAATGATGAGTTTCATAATTTGTAAATAAGATCTAAGAGTTTGTGACAATGATACATTAATACAAATATTATGTTTCTGGACATTAATCATCTTCCTGTTTTTATTCAAAACACAGTGTTTCAGAAACTGGATTCTGTCTCCATCTTCAGGTGAAACCTACTCAATTGGACCCAATTGATAGAGCTAGTCCCTATCTCCAGAGTAGGTTTTAGCTGAATGTGGAGACAGAATCCAGTTTCCGAAACTGTGTCTTTTAAATAAAAACAGGATGATGAATAATGTGCAAAAACATAATATTTGTATTCATAACTTGTATCTGTTAGATACTATTAGGATGGTTACATTAAGGAGGCTGAGGTGGGTGGCCATGTGTCATGCATATAAATTTCTATTCAGAAAATTTGAAGGTAAGGGACCATTTGGAAGCACTAGACATAGATGGGAGCATAATATTAAAATGGGTGTTAAAGAAAGAGGATGGAAGCGTGTGGACTGGATTTATCTGGCTTAGGATAGGGGCTAGTGGAATGCTCTTGTGAACATGGTACTGAACTTTGAGGTTCCATAAAGTGCTAGGAATTTCTTGACTAGGTGAACAGCTGTTAGCTCTTCAAAAAGAATTCTGCTCCATGAAGTTTGTTAATTGTTGATAAAATTAATTGGAGGAGGCTGCTACATTTCAATGATACATGTCAATTTGACACTTATATAGGGTGTTCTGTTTTCATCCACTAGGCCACTGTCTGCATCGGAGCTGGCAGTAGGCTGCGAGGGAGGGGTGTTTGTATGGCAGCTGGACCCAAACTCAGTTGTGACCAGACCCTCCATGAGTTGTGCCACTGTGCTACAGAAACTTCACCACTCACCTGTCACCAGCATCACCTGGAGCCCACAAGGAGATGTACTACTGACAGCTTCTGCAGCTGACACTGCTATGTATGTGTGGGATGTGGCCATGGAGAAATCTGTGGCTCTGAGACGTGTGGGTGGTGGAGGTGTGTCTCTGGTCACATGGTCTCCAGATGGCTCCAAGGTGTTTGCTGCTACGACTGGCATGATATTCAGGTGGGAAGATGATGCACATAATTCTCTGGTGTTTAGCATAAATATCATAGCATGCGAAGTGGCCAAATGAATGGTTACGGACTCTCATGGTCCTGATCTGTGGAACTTTGTCTTCATGGGCAGGCACCAAAGCAGCCCAAATCCATTCAAACTTGTTTTTTTTTATATTGTTCCTGAAGTCTTTTAACTCTTTTCCCACACATGCACACATGTGTTTGCACTTACACACATCTAGTGAAGTTTCTGTTCTTATTTAAAAGATATGTGATAATATTTTCCATTTCACTGAACCAACTTTTAACCCATTTGGAATGGTGTTTAATACATTTATTCGTTAACAGCATATTACTGTTGTACACCATGCCACAACAAATAATATGTCTTCTCTTATGCAAATATATAATTTCTTTGTTGATAAAGGTGGCAAAGGCAAAGTGGCAAAGGTGAAAGCTTTTGGTTCAGAATTAGGCTGTAGACTTCTGGAAATTTTCACCTATTGACAGAAGGTTGTAACCATAGCGTATTAAAGTAGCAGTCTTTACCACCAACTCTTTATTAAACATAGTGACCAACAAAAGTTTTGATCTCTCTCAGACTTAAACACAGACTTCTTCACTATGGTTGAAGTCCCCCCCCCAAAAAAACTGTCTGTATGGCCCACTCCTGTTTGTGACAGGGTGTGGAACACAGATCGGTGGTTACCCGAGCGGTGGACTGTTGTGTCTGGACATGTACAGGCTTCATGCTGGAGTCCTTGTGGTTCTGTGCTGCTGTTTGCTACCTCAGAGGAGCCCATGGTCTATTCTCTGACATTTAGCAAGCTGGACACTGTTTTCCAGCTTGATGAAGCCTCCAAGACTGCTGTTCCTGTCGTGGATTTGACTGAGGTGGAATTAGAAGAAGGGCAGAGGTGAGTTACTCTCAGAATGCATGATGGTTTGTCATTTTCAGGTTTACATGTCTCTGTAAAGTTGGTTGGTTCTACTGAATTTCTATTGCTTAAAACTTAGTTTCAGCACTGCCATTGAGTAAGTTGGCTCAAGTGGTAACATTTTGGGCTTATATTCAGGAGATGTCCGATTTGAATTTCATCTGGAGCACCAACTGTCCTGACTGTTTTTTTCCTCAATCTGAAATAATGGCAACAAGTGACTGGCTACAGCCTGGATAACAGAGGAATCAGAGTTCAAGTTCCAGTAGGGTCAAGAATTTTCTCTTCACAGCATCCAGACTTGTTCTTGGGCCCACCCAGCCTCCTATCCAATGCATACGGGGAGTGATTTCTCAGGGGGGCAAAGCAGCTGGGGTGTGAAGCTGACTCCTCACCTCTAACTTGTGCCAAGGTCAAAAAATATGGATCTATACATACACTCCCCCATACGCTTTTATTGCGTAGTACTTAATTAGTTACACACAGTAACAGCTTTACCTATTTTTAATTGTTAAATGAGGTACAAATAAATAAATTCTCAATTGCTAATATGTGAGGTGGTATTAGAAAGTACTTTGACTGTTATTGTTGTAACTGCCTAGATGAAAGAGAGGGGAGGCCAAGGTCACTCTTCTGCAAGCCTGTTGCATTAGTCTGCCACGTGACATCGTGCTGTGAACATGCACTGTTTTTACCCAAGTGCTTTTACGACTTCATGTTTCATTTCATCTGCAATGGATGGTAAAATTGAGCAGCGTGTCTGCATCAAGTTTTGCATGAAGCTCGGCAGATCGGCTAACAAAACTCTTCAAATGCTTCATGAGGCTTTTGGAGAAGATTCTTTAAGCTCGACAGTGGTTTCTGAATGGCATTCACATTTCAAGGCCAGCTTAGTGTCAGTTCAAAATGATGAACATTCAGGGCGACCAGCACCAGCAAAATGACAGAAAAGGTTGGAAAAATTCAAGAACTCATCCATGAAGACCGTTGCTAAACAATCTATGAGCTTGCAGACACCGTTGGCATCAGTTATGGAGTTTTCCAGGAGATCTTAACAGAAAATATGAACATGCACTGCATTGCTCCTTCATCACAACAACGCACTCACCCACATGTCACTAAAAACCACACAGTTTGTAACCAACAACAACATGGTTATTGTTCCCATCCTCCCTCCTTACTGGATTTAGCCTTTTGTGATTTCGCTTTGTTCCCCAAATTGAAAATGAAACTAAAGGAATGTTGTTTAACGTTTAGAAACAGTATCTGACACCCAAAGGGAATTGCAAGTGGTACTTGACAACATTAAGGAAAATGACTTCCACGGTGCATTTGAAGCATGAAAAAATAAGATGGCATTGCTGTATATGTTCCCAATGAGACTATATTGAAGGAGATGGGAGGCAAAGTTGAGTACTTTAAGCCGGTATTTCATTTTTGACCTAGTCTTGGAACGTTCCGATAGCACCTCTTAAGTTCAACAGGGAAGTTATGAAGGATGAAAGTAGGCAGCATGTTGCAGTCAACATGGAATGGTGGATGTGCCATATTTGATGAGTAATGTTTCCTGTCTTGTGTATGTTTCAGAGTGGGCGGTATTGTCACATCACTGGCATGGGATGCCAGGGGGCAGCGCTTGGCTGTGCTCTTCAAGAAAACAGATCTTGTAGCCGTATTCTCAACAGAAATACATGCTGTGCTACAGGTGTCCCCATGGTAACTACGTGTACACACATGGTTGAATAGTGTCACTGTCTGTGAACTCGGATATTCCAAAATGACCTCAGTTTCACTGAAAGATATGTTGCCTAAGGAGGTAATATTATCATCTCAGTGCAAGTCTGCCTGTGTCTACACATTTCAACCAATTGATTTTCTCTGATAAAAATAAGTAAAGCTATCCATGTAACAGGCCGTGGAGGCGTATAGGGTTGTGAGATGTTGAGGTTCCCACATTTTCTAGACGGTTGGCTCACAGATGGCGGTGAGGTTTGTCAGCCTTATGCGCTGGCCCTNGAGAACCGTGAAAGGTGTAGATCAGGATAGTCAGTGTCTCGTCTGAGATTTGAGCCATGTACCTCCTGAATACAATTCAGAAGCTTTATAACCTGGCCACTGGTCATCCTGTTTAGCAAGGACCCAGGCCTCTGCTCTATATGCCAATACTGACCTTATCAAGGTTTTGTATATTGCCACTTTCATATTTCTAGGGAGGATCTTAGATTTCAAATGTTTCCTAAGTCCATAATGACCTTTGTTAGCCATAGTTAAATGTGTTTTTATTTCCACCATTCTATTATTTTCTCTGTTGATGTTAGAACCCAGGTACCTGAAGTCATCAACTCTATGGAAGACATATTCACCCAGAGACAATGATTTGGGGGAGTTTTCTTTGCTTCCACTATACATATATACCTTCTTCTCTTGATTAATCTCCAGTCCCATTTTGTGTGCTGATTTTTCAAAGGATGTAAAATTTTCTTTAAGACCTGTCATAGGGCAAGACATGATGTCAGTCATCTGCGTAGGCCAATATCTGAATAGATTTTGAGAATATAGTCCCTCTAGTCTGNTGCCAACTTAACTTTTGGGAACAACCAGAATTCTGGTGAATACGGAGGATGATCAAGGACTGGGATCCCTTTTCTGGCCAAAAAATCATGCACGATCTTCGATTTGTGGGGTGGGGCATTGTCGTGGAGGACTTAACNATTTAACTTTTGCCATTTTCATTTGATCCAATTTTATGAGCTTCCTTAGGATTCCACATTTCTCCATCGCACTATATACAGTATAGTCTTCTACAATTTATACTATCATATGCTGCTTTGAAATCTGTGAATAGATGATGTATGCCTATTTGAAATTCAACTGTCTTATCTATTATCTAANCAAGGTGTGTCTGGAGAAATTCCAAACTGCATCAGTTTTCAGCAGAATTTTGAAGAAGGAGCATGCCTCACCATTGTAAGTATGATTCACAGGTTCCATGCACTAAGTATGATTGATTGATTTGCAGATTAACACCAACTTTGCATGCTGCAGAGACTGTTATTGGTTTGCAGGATATGAGGTTCTCACAGCAGTGACTGTGAAGATTACTGTCATCTTGGGTATGATGCTATATAATCTGTGTTCAGAATGAAAGCTGTAAGCAGCAGATTATTCCGAAACAATAACAGTCAACCATGCTACAGGATGGCATATCCTAGAAGACAGAAGTTTTCATTGGTTTACTTTTTGGGCTTTATATTATAGCATGTATAGCTGTTGCTAATCAGTGATCATGAAATGAGCAGTTATACCAGACCAGTTANAAAGATCATCAAATTATCCATTCCATCATGCTAATATATCTTGTGGATCAGATATAATATTGTCGCGTGTTGCCTATGCAGCACAACAAATAACTTCACGTGGGTCTTGGATTTAGCAAATATTTATTGAATGCTCACTTGTTATACCAGACCAGTTACTGGGCAACAGCTTGGTAAACACATTCCTGCAGTAACAAAAAAACAGTTAGCATATGAAAATGAAGATTGTTGCCCGTGTAGTCTGCGCCAAGTTGTTAGAAAGAAGAGAACTGGGGAAACCAAGTCAATTGATAGTTGGCAGTCAGTTCTGTATTGAACTTGAGCACAGAAGTAGAGGAATAGCCATCGTTAACATTCGTTACCAGAAAACGTCTAGTGAAAACATTGCAGAGGAATAGCCATTGTTAGAAGCTGTTACCAGGAAATGTCTAGTGAAGACTCTGAAGACTTAATGTTTGCAACAGTGATTTGTAAAGTGTGGAGATAGTGATAGTGTTATAGTTATTTGTAGTTACTACCTGTAAGTGGCCAGTAAATTTATCCACCAATCCAAACCCCATCTATAGTCACACACACAATGCAAATATTTATTGAACGCTCACTTTTACACACTCGACTCTTCAATCTTCAACTGTACTCAGCGACGGGTGGAGCTACACTCGCTTCGATGTCGGCTATCTAAGACTGACTCATTACACAATGCTTCTAACAATTTGTTGTAACCATGGAGACTCACTGTTAGAATTACCATGGAAGTAACCCTTCTGAATTCCAAACACATGACAGAATCCTGGGTCTGGTCAAGTGGGATTTATGGTGGACAATGTGGCGCTGGGGCAGGTTTTCTCCGAGTACTTCGGTTTCCCCTGCCAATCTTCATTCCACCAATTGCTCCACAATCACTCTCACCTATCATCTGGGGTGGTACAATAGGCCAGAAGTGGCTGCAGTACAAGGGACTTAGTCCCACGCCACTAGCAATAAAAAAAAAATACCAACAAGAGAATGTACATTTTTACAGGCATGGTCCAGTGGGCGTGTGCAGTACTTCCCATTGCTGCATACAGATCTCAAATCTGAACGAAAGATCCTCCAGGAGACTGGTCGTAGTCCAGACTACTCATTGAAGAATATCTCTCTCACATCTACTTTCAGGTCTCCATGATCCATTTCATTCGATTTGGCAACAAAAAATTTTGTATTATCAGTTGGTATGTGATTCAGACTAGAAATAAACACTTGTAACTATTTATACTGGAGCAAGTTGTATTTGGTACATGTGTTCCACAAGCAGACACAGTTTCTTTCATTAACTAATGACTTATTTATCAGGATTATTGGGCTTTTGGACCTTGTCCATCATCTGATGTTCTAAAGAACAGGACATGATCCAGTGATTTGAGGTTAGCTCCTTCTAACAGACCCAACAGAGTAGGATCTCCCACCCCCACGCCTGAGGATGAAAACAGATTCAGTTTCGGAAACATTTTATTCTTTAGAATGTTGGATGATGGACAAAGTCCAAAACCCCAGTAATCCTTAGTGTTTACACAATTGTCTGAACCCTTCTGAATCTACTAATATTATATGCATGACCAACTGCATAAGCTTCTAACTGCAGTATGTGTTACAACATATGCCTTAGTCCAGATCCCTAGCTCTATATTCTGCCACACATGATTCACTAATCAGTATTTTGGCTCTTCATTTCAAATTATATTAATTTCTTTCCTGGCAGTTATGTGGCTTTCAGATGTATCCAAATTGAATGCATGTTTTTGATCCTAAATTATAACTTAATATTTTGGCTTCTACCTAAAATCTCTTTCTTAACTTAATTTCTCATTTAATTAATTTTATATGAATATTCTGAACTTCTATCTCCTTCTGTTCCATGTTCTTTATGACTACCTTCAGGTCAGTAGAGATAATCCAGGAACTTGTAGCAGTTAAGGTAAAGTTATCCCTGTGCTTAACTAATAAAGTACTACGCCTTGAAGACATATGGGGGTGTGCATATATAGATCCACATTTTCTTGACCTTGACATTAGCTGGAGATGAGTGGTCAGCTTTACACCCCGGTTGCTTTACCCCTGGAGAAAGAGCCCCCAGTACTCATTGGATAGGAGGTTGGGTGGATGCCAGAGCCCATCTGGACACTGGAGAAGAGAAAATTCTTTACCCTACTGGAAATGGAACTCCGACCCCTCGGTCGTCCAGCCCATGGCCAGTCACTATATCGACTATGCTATCCTGGCTCCTACACTTGTGGCAGTTACCTGTACAGAAGTCTGCCTGAAAAATTGAGAAGTTTGGACTAGCCTTAGCAACAACTGGGTGGACAACACTGTTCTTGCAAGTGTTCCTTTTCTGTCTCTTCTGAAATTATTACATGAGATACTGGGTTATCACTTATTGATATGTTCAGAAAGACTGAAATAATGTGTGACCTACTGCAGAATATTTGAGTTGCATAGTTGTGACTGATCTGAAGTGCAGAGTCCATAGGCTGGATCACAGTTGATGTGACAGCCCTACAGCAACATTTTCGGATGAGTTCATTTTAAAGTGCCAAAATTATATTTCTGCGCACATAATTTCGAAGTTCCTGGTCATGTAATACAAAGTAAATTTTAAGACTGGAATTTTGCATACTTATGGTTCATCTTTGTTCTATGTTATATTTTTGTTCTACAACTTTATTTGACATTTTGTTTATAACCAGCCAGTAAAGTCTGAGGTATACTTGTGTATTCCACTTCCCAAATATTCTGAAGTATCAGCATCTTTTAATTTTTCTCTATTTTACCTTTATCTTGTAGAGTCTAGCATTCTGTGTAACCACTATTTTCTTTAGATTTTGTAAAGCTTGTATTTCTTAAATGGTTAACATTTTCTTTTTTGCACATGTATATATTTTACAGTTTAGCAAGAATGAGCTCATTACTTTCATTAAATCACTTGGCCTACACACAGACCTTCAAAATATATACTTCATGTAAGAAGTTCTGGAAAATTATGATGGCAGATGTCAGACTAGTGAGTTTAAATTTTTTTGTTGGACATTTTTCAGTTCAATGAGAACCATATCATTATTTTGATCAAATCACTTGGCATACACACAGACTGACAAAACACGCACTTTATGCAGTTATTTCTAGAAAATTATAATGCTAATGTTGAGGTGAACTTTAGGCTTAAATTTGTGCAATAATTGTGCCATTTAGTTTTCTGATACCTGAATGATGTTGAACATAACGTGGAATATTCACCATGTGCTGGAGGAATTGCCTTGCTTGATAAGTCATCTCTGCCATCATGGTTTGGCTGCAGTTCTCGCTGCATTATAAGTCACAGACTTGCATGCTTGTTAAGTCTGTGCTCTTCTGGATTATGATATCAAATAGTTTTATGGACAGGTTTCGACATTTCAGAGGAACTTGCTGCCTCCATCTTCAGGGTTGAAGCATGTAGGACCAGAAATAGGCTTGGTTATTATGTAGGTAAGTTATTTTATTATTATTTTTATTATTTATTTATTTATTATACTGCAATTGGGTTTTAGCCCGGTGGCAGTAGTACACAACAGGACACAACAGACAAGTAACACACAGTAAGTTATGAGGAAGTGGTCAGTAGAATCAGGGGGAAAGGGGCACAGAAAGGAACCAACGGGAAGAAATGAACAAAAGCTGGAAAACAACGCCCTTGTAAGGGATTCATTAGTATTTTTTGTTGCAGGTGGGAAATGGAATGGTGAGGGAGAATGGACCTTTCCAATAACCGTAGTGTATAAGGCAGTAGTCATAGGACCCCATGAGAAGGTGCGAAGAAAGAAAATAATCCTGTTTCTGAATCTATACACTTTAACCCTGAAAATGCGGGCAGTGTGTCCCTCTGAAACCTTGGTAGCTGCACACAAAACTGCAGAGAATGACAATCTCAATAGACCCTGATCTGAAAACCTCAAGAATTATATAATTTTATACGATTATTAGGAATCTGCTTCATATATTCACAGTCCTATCATGGCAGTCAATATTGAAGGAATATAAAATACACATTTGAAGGAGCTCTTCTAAGTAAGCATTTTATATGAATATGTGGAAGAGACTACTGTTGACATATCCACCTACCAGAAGAGTTAGTACCATCTTGCTACCAGCACTTGTAGTGCTCTGTTGGCACACTGTGTAACTATAACCTTATGCGGTATCATTACAATTTTATTGTAGACATAGTGTGTGTTTTGGATTCGCTCTATTGCTACACTGATTTGGAATCCAGGTTACGAATTTCTTAATGTATTTGCACACTGGAAGACCAATAAGGTAAGTGGCGATACATTATGTTGGGAGATACCTGTATATGTGAACAGTGATTTCCTTATTTAAAGCAAGCTAAATCAGAGCTGAAGAGCATCTACCATCAAAGCAGACATTTAAAGCCTGGCGAAACTTAAGCAGTGCAAGGTATTGATCCTTCAATTAGCAGGAGTGTTTGTAACTAAAAATATGCAAAGCAAATTATACTTTTTTTGAATTGCTTCATTTTTGGTCCGTTACACTATCAATCACAAAGTCAATAGAAGGTCCGTCGAGTGTAACAATGTTTTTAGGTCACTTCTTTATCACATTTGCCTTACATGTTTCGGTTTAATAAAACCATCATCAGAGGCATATATTACAAACACATGAAAACACTGGCGTTGTTTAAATGCACACAGTATATGCTGCGTGGACGCTGCTACAGTTGTCGATGTGTAAAAGCACAACACTTACTAGGAAAATTGAATGCACGTTCAACTCTCGCATTCCATTCGAAATTACCCTCAAATTAAACCGTCAATGTTAAAATATTTAAAAGTTTAAAACATTTGAAGTAAAATGTTAGGCTCCTCCTTGTTAATTCATCCCGAAGATGGGAGAAGTCAGCTTGAGGTTGTGTATGCTTATGGTCAGATGTTTCCTATGCGTTGTGTGTTGTGTACTGTACACAACACACAACGCATAGGAAACATCTGACCATAAGCATACACAACCTCAAGCTGACTTCTCCCATTTTCGGGATGAATTAACAAGGAGGAGCCTAACATTTTACTTCAAATGTTTTAAACTTTTAAATATTTTAACATTGACGGTTTAATTTGAGGGTAATTTCGAATGGAATGCGAGAGTTGAACGTGCATTCAATTTTCCTAGTAAGTGTTGTGCTTTTACACATCGACAACTGTAGCAGCGTCCACGCAGCATATACTGTGTGCATTTAAACAACGCCAGTGTTTTCATGTGTTTGTAATATATGCCTCTGATGATGGTTTTATTAAACCGAAACATGTAAGGCAGATGTGATAAAGAAGTGACCTAAAAACATTGTTACACTCGACGGACCTTCTATTGACTTTGCAAATTATACTTATTTATGTTTAGGCACACTCTTCAAGCATGTATGTTATATAAGTATTAATTTGCTGTTTATAAAATATTTTGTTTTCATTTGTTGATATGCCTGTAATTTGAGTTCGTTGTCACTGAGCAAGTAAGGGGGATGATAACTGAGTTGTGCATCTGTTTTACTCCCTGAGCTTGCATTCAGACACCCTGCCCATATGGGGAGCATTGTAAACAATCAGCCAGAATCAGAGTACCTGTGCACTTCCAATTATATATGTCCTATTAGTGTGATGCAATTTATGTAGGCCCTTCAAGTGGACTGCAATTTGTAGAGAATCTAAAAGTGCATTGCTATTAATGAAGTTTACAAGTGCTATGTGTTTGATTAAAGAGAGCTAATTATACAGGGCGAATCTAAAATGTTTGGGCAAACTTTGAAGATGAGTTGCATATACCAAAACAAGAAAACAATTTTTTATAAATGTGGATCTGCAAGTGCCTCCTTTCCAAGTTAACAGCACTGAAAAGACAGACAAGAAGTGCTCAAAATGCCCTTCACGAGGCTTAGGATGTGGCTGGGCATGTCTCATCATGGACTTTCAAACACATTCAGGGCACCTAGGTAGTTGTGGATAGTCTGACAGATGTTCACAATGCGCTGGTGAAGTGTCTCCACATGAAAAACAACAATATATAATGTCTTTTTGTGCCCCCACAGGTAGAAATACAGAGGATTCAAATCAGGTGAGTCTGGAGGCCACACAATGGGTCCTCTATCCAGCAGTTATGATGGGTAATGTTGGGGACATCTTGTACAGCATGGCTGATATGTGCTGGAGCACCATCATGCATGAACCACATGCATTCGCCTGCCGCCAGTGGCACACTTTTTAGTAGATCAGGCAAACCATTTAACAGGAGATATTAGTGGTAGCCTGTAAACTGACATGGCAAAAAAATGCAGTCATACCAGCCAGTCATCCACAATACCTACCCAAATTTCAATGCAGAACTTACTGGTGTCTAAACTGGAGTACATCATTAGAATTGCCTTCTCCCCAGTAGTAATGGTTGTGGAAGTGTATGATTGTGTCTGTATTAAAACCTCCCTCGTCTCAAAAGAGAACTCACACATTGTTGAAAAGCCATAGGCACAAAGTTTCTTGTGCTGGGGATTTAGCATGCTTGAAAGCCTGGGTTCACTGTAATTTGTATGGGTATTGCAAATTCTCACTCAGTACTCTAGAGACAGTCTCTTTAGCAACATTTATCTCTAATGCTGTTTGTTGCGTTGTAATATCCGGATTCTCTTTATCAGGTCCAGGGGGCGCTCCTCAATATTAAGTATCAGGATGGATCTTTCTTGCCCCCATTTTAATGCTCCACGCTTTCTAAGTTGATGATCAATGGGGGAAAGGTTTTATGGTTTGGATGATGTTGGCATGGGAACATTTTCTGGTAGGAGCACACAGCTCTCCAACCATTGCCATTTGCACGGCCATGCATGAGGTATGTCTGCCAGTTCGTTAAATGGCTATACATCTGTATATTGTTGTTAATATTCACTGGTGAATGCCTTGTATATGAAAAAGGTCTGAATGCTAAGTATCGTGGGTAACACTTTTGCGCTGGATCTATGCCCTATGTTGGTAAAATGTGAGGGTTGTGCAGACTGACATGTAAAAGGTTGTGTATTTGGAGGAGCTTTGAAGTTTAAATTATAATACACTGCAGTAACTACAATACTGGAAACTGAAAAAAAGTATTTTATGCAGCTTTCAAACAGGTTGTGAGCAAAGGGTTGAAGGGGTTGAATACGGCGTATTGGGAAAGGAGCTAATCATCTTACCGACTGAGCTCTTGGCAGGGGTTGTATGTCTTCTTTTGCCGTGACATTGCTTGAGTTGCCCATCTACTGTTACCAGAGGTTAGCAGCGATGGCAACGATTGGAGCCCGCGGTCCAAATCGTCCAAATTGTCACAATGGCGGCGGAAGTGTTGAATGATATAATTTGTCGCAGGATATCTGTAGATGATTTAATTGCATGGTTGACAACAGATCAAATGGTAATTGTAGCAGAGGAAACCGTAATATTTGTCGGTATAATATGATCGCAGTAATTAAAATGTGTTGTACGGTAGGAATTCTGGTGAACACAGTGCCCACGGAAACTATATTTTCAATTTGTATTATATTATGTAAGCTTTGAGGTTTTCACGGCGGTGACTATGAAGAAAGCAGTCTTACACGGCGCTACATTCCAGAAGACTGCTTTCTTTATATTATATTTGTAATTGTAGTCCGAATTGTCGAAACTAACTTTAGCCTAGTATTTCACGTTGCTTTAAATTATTTAACCACGTGGAACATATCGGAATTATATGGATCTTAATTCAGAAGCGTTATGAATGAAACGCAGAACCAAGAAACAAATAACTTCTAGAACCAGTTGTCGGTATCAGGCCAGTTCCACGTGCCACTCTAGAAGAATGGAAAATGTTGATGTTACAGTAGTAGTGGTAAATTATATTATATTTAAGCATCCTGTTACATTCCACGCTTCTATATGTATAATACAAACTCCGTCGCAAATGTAACACTTTATTGTAGTTCTTGTTCCACTTCTTTCACACTGCATGTTTCGGCCGCAACCAGCCATCATGAGGTATATTTCACTTCACGTAGCTGTCGCACTGCATTCAATATTAATATTTAAACTCCAGATTGCCAATTGTTCATTGCTCTGTCATCAGTCGGTATCTGATAGTCCAGAATTCCCCTTGTCAATTTTTGTCAGTTATGTTTAAAATCTTAATTAATATTCATATGTCGATTGGTTTAAAATTTTAAATTCTCAATTTAGCTTTAATATTTAAAATTTAAATTTAGATTTAAAATCACAATCACAGAGATACCTGCTCTATGCTTATTTTGATTTTAAATCTAAATTTAAATTTTAAATATTAAAGCTAAATTGAGAATTTAAAATTTTAAACCAATCGATGTATGAATATTAATAAAGATTTTAAATATAAAAAATTGACAAGGCAAGTTCTGGAATATCGGATACCGATTGATGACAGAGCAATGAACAATTGGCAGTCTGGAGTTTAAATATTAATATTGAATGCAGTGTGACAGCTACATGAAGTGAAATACACCTGATGATGGTCGGTTGGGACTGAAACATGTAGTGTGAAAGAAGTGGAACAATAACTACAATAAAGTGTTACATTTGTGATGGAGTTTGTAGTATACATATAGAGGTAAGTTATTTATTTTGAACTTGCGTTGTTGACAAGCATGTCAGCAACAATTATTCTTCAATTCAAATGCAGCCAACACTGAACTGCAGCAAGAAAATAGGAACATGTGACAAATGCACCATTCTCTACTTTAGCACAAGATGAGAGTTGTGAATTTTGTTCCACTATACCTTAATTGAAACAAAAGTGATACAGTAACAACAAGTAGTTACTTTGTGAATTCTGTTTTACTATACTAAAAGTAACTGAAAATACAATTAAAATGGAACTAGGATCCTGTGAACACAGTAAAGAACCTTTGGGCCCCATAAAATGGTGGGAAGTTCTTGAGTAGCTGCACAATTGGCGCCTTGACAAGAAGTGCTCAGCTCCATAAATGAGTGACTGTCCGTTGTTGCTACCTTTCAGAGTAAGAACGTCATATGTGTGCTTGTCATAGTATTCTGAAAGACAGCCAGAATTATTTTATAGAAGAATGGTCATTGTGCATTATTTGGATAAGAAAATATACACAGGATTAATTGTTTCCAAGGACTGTGGTTATCTACTTTTCAGGCAGGGACATTCCATGTCCAATTCGTACAAGAAGTACAAGATTTAACTTGACCCCTCGAATTTTAATGAAATGTTGTGAGGTACAGTCATTCATGTGGGTGAGTTATGCCCATTTTTTAGGCAAGTATGTACAAACGTTTCTGATTTATTGATATTTAAAGTTATTAAGTGCCGTTTATGGTTATACTTTATGTTTTAAAATGCTTTTATGTCCATAATTGAGATATAAGGCTCAAATTAGTCTTTTTAAGGGAACTAAATAGTCTTTCCAATGAAATACGTATGGTACATGTACAGAAATTAATTTTTTAGGATCATTGAATTTCACCTTTAACCTTGAACTTCTCAATATATTTGAATCTTTGTAGCTTGGAATGTACACTGCATGAACCTGTTTGACATAATTTATACAAAAAAAGATACAAATCTTGCTCTCTCCCAAGAAACGACCATTCTGTGTCAAATCAACACGGGCCACAACCTGACCCCAGTGGAACTGAATTATTTTTTTGTGTGTGATTGTAGTCTAAATCTAGGCAAGTTTTCATACTGAACTTCTTTATGGCCATTAGATTTTGGAATGCATGCATCAAAACTACACACGTTTCAGCAACTGTAACGTATTCACACATCCCAATCCTGGAGTGAAATGTGAAGGGGCTGACACTTTCTGAAATTTCTTGCTGAACGTTTCTATTTGTTTCATTTACAATGAGTTTCAGAAGAGCTATATGCAAAATGTGTTGAAATATACTCATGACACTGAGTTCACCAGTGTTGAACTGAGGATCATACATACCAAAACATTTTTTTTGCAACAGGATATGAGCCTATATTTTTCCACACAAACAATTTGACACCCCTCCCAGTTCTGTGTTTATGTGTTCTTGTTCATCACTACCATTGCTACTCTCGCTGTCACTAATCACGTGGGTTTCTGAAGTCACCAGCCTTATGTAATCGCTGTCAAAAATACTATCTCCATCTGAACTAATTTCACCAGTATTTTCATCATTGAAAACTTCATTCAAAACATATACTTGTTCAACCTCTGTGAACACACGATTTGCTGACAGTGATCACCATGATATCACATTTTTATTTAGACTGACCTGCCCAGCTGCAGAAAATAAAAGGTTGTTGATACATGAACATGGAGTTCGTTCATTTCACAACAGTCCAGTGGAAACCTCATCACTCTAGATTTATTCATTCCTTATGTATGGATCAGAAAAATTAAGCTCGCAGCTGAATGTATGGCATATTTAAAGCACAGTAGAGCAATTGTCGTATGTAACATTTACGTTGAACCATGCAAATGGGTAGGAGTGGCATACTGTTCTATATGACTTTCAGTGTACAGAGTTACTGCTTGGACAGACCAGCCATTAGAACTGTATGACAATCATGGGAGAGCAGTTGAATGAATTAATGTATAAGGGGTGGGCCTTCTTGGCCCTTGCACCGCGACCACAGTGATCTATTGTGCTTTAGAAGAGCAGTTAGTGATGCTTCTGTAATTTAAAGAGATCCAGATGAAAGATAGCTCAGTCAATATAGTGACTGGGCTACAGGCTATTATTATTATTATTATTATTATTATTATTATTATTATTATTATCATTATTATTATTATTATTATTATTAGAGGGGGTGGGTTTCTCCATGCACTTAGACCAGTTATTAGTCCACTGTGCGTCCCCCTTTAATTTCTACTGTCACTATACCCTACCGGTATTGGTGCGTGCTATCAGCCCCGTTCAGCCAACGAGGTCGGCCGTTGGTACCTGATATTTCCCCCATCTACCAGAGGCATTGGAAACTACTTGGGCAGGAAATTTTTGCTTAATTTTGCTCAGAGGTCTCCTAGAGACATGAGGATCTTTTACGTGCCATAAATCTACGACACGGGACGCACGGCTTAAAGTCCCTCCCGGAGGTCTTGTTCCCTGAATTCTTCCGCCCTTAAAAATTCCACGATCTCTGCCGGGTTTGAATCCGCGTACCTTGAGTCATGAGGCGGGAACGTTACCGCTAGACTACGGAGGCCGCTTGGGCTACAGGCTAAATAACAAAGGTATTCTGGTGTCATTCCAATCAGGAGAAAGGGATTCTTTTCTTCTCCATAGCTTCTGGACCTGCTCTGGAGCTTGCCCAGCCTGTGTAGGTACTGGGGACTCTTCCCCAGTGGTAAAGTGGCTGCTGTGTGATGTTTGCCACTCACCTCCATCTGTAGTCTGGCCACAGTTTAATGATCCCTCCTGACAGTGATCAGCCCTGTTCATGTTGAAACAGCATTGGCCAACAGTTGGCCACTGAGTTCTTGGCTGCATTTGCACTCTTCACTATTTGGGGTTGAAATAAGATATGTCAAGTGCAGCGTTCCACCATAAAAATTTGGAGTTGTTACATTACGTGCAGGTTTGATCACAATCATTAAATAATGGCTGAATTGCAGTTCAGAGGTTAAGAATATGTAGAGCTATTCCTCCCGTCACCTATACATCTTCATGGTATGGTGTCTGATTAAGCACACAGACAGCTTTTCATGCCATATAAAGGAATTTTGTGCCCTTGACCCTTACTTCATAAGTAGAGTGAAATCATGTAAGTATTCTCTGTAGCAGGTGTGATAAGTTGCGTGAGTATTTGAGTGTGCCATGTTCTCTTTTGGGTAAGAACGAGGTAATGCAAATATCCGGTTCTCTGCATTTTATTGCACTATCTCTGTACTTCCATAGGTTTGTGTCACTTGCAAGCGTGAGATTTCAGAGTGTTTTTGTTCTAAGTCACTTGTAAGCAGTTGATTCCCTAAATTCAAACCTAGTTTCCCCAAAATTGGTGTTGATTGACATAGTACACACTACTCAGATGACGAATTTTCTGTCTCACTGGAAAATTTAATTTTACAGGTTGACTGCCCTGCAGCATTGGAGAATGTGAAATGCGGCAGGAAAGATTTTGTGCCTTACTTTATGAACTTCTTAAGGGAGCAGACATCAAGGTAATGTGAATAAAGATGTGCCTCCTTGGCAGCATGCTTAAAGCTCATTGGATTTGATTTGGATGTTGCCAGTTGTCAGCAAGTATGGTTGCCTAGTTGCCACCAGTGATGAAGAAATTCTTGCTGGTGACTAATTACGCACTTGACATTCAGGTGTTGGCTTTTGGAGTTCTAGGGATCTTATGTGGTCACTTACGGGACAGAGGAAATGACCATCTGCATCCAAAGATATTAAGATCAGCATAATTGGTACGTCGTAACAACCACTCTTTTAAATGTAAGAATTGTATAAACAGAAATGAAGGTCAGCTGTTTTGCATATGATGTTAGTATGTATAATATGATGATGGTAATGTTGAACAAAGCAAAGTCAACAACTAGGGTTCAGTTGTGTGTGATTTAAATGTATGTGTGCATATTCTTTGTAGTGCAGATAACTTTGTTTTGTGGTAATAATAATATGATTGGGCACTCGGGGGTGTTATGGATGGATTTTTACCTCTTGCATTCTTCTTGCTGCTATGGATGTCTGCTGTGGCGGTGTATTTGTAAAAATGTTTTGTATGATTTGAGGTTCTCATCTGTGGTTATTTGACCCTGAAAATGGAGGCGATGTGTTCCTCCAAAACGTTGGTTGCTTTCAACGGACTACGTGGCGTTGTATCCAAGAAGATAGTACTCTTCTAAATGTTTTGCATATTGTGAGGTGTAGTGTTTGTAATTTTGTAAATTGTAATTAGTTTTAATTTGTACTTACATATGTCCGTGCAACTCCTTGATGTGCAACAATATCCACATTGTGTTGTAGCTGTTTAGGGTGAAGGCGTTTGTATTCTGTTGGTGCAGGGTGTATAGTCTTCACAGCTTTACTGGCACTCTGTAGAGTGCTGTAATTAACTGTGCAGAATAATTTATTAACTCTGTGCATGTGCTTGCTTGCCCAGTTTTGTCTTGGGGCTTCCCTAGGATGTAGATGATTATGATATTGTAAGGTGACTGAAGTATGTAGTTACATGATAGTGGGTATTGGGGGGTAACAAACTGGGAGATGGAAAGGAAGGGGTGGGTGTTGTTTTGACTTTATGGAGGTGTTATTTAAATTAAGTCAAATATGGGATTCCTTGTATCTGCAAATGTGTTATTCATTTTTGATTACTAAGGTTATATGTATGAATTCTATGTAGTATGTTTAGTAAATGACATTTGATTTCATTATGAAGTATTTCTAGTGTTTCATTGATTGTGCCATGTTTGTGTCCTGCTTTGAGTATATATTAGACATACTTCAAATTTTATTTGCTTTTGTGGCATGTGTGTATTCCTTAAATCTTGTATTAAACGTTCATTCTCCTCCTTCTATGGCTCAACAGCCCGATGTCGGGCCTTGGCCTCCCTTATCAAGCACCTCCATTCCTCTCTATCCTGCACTGCTCTCTATCAGTTCCTTATGCCCATTAACTTCTTTGCATCTTCTTCCACCGCATCAATCCATCTAGTTCTTGGTTTCCCCGCACATCTCCTACCACCTATTACACCCGTCCCCACACGCTTTAATACCACGCGGTGTATGCCTCGACTAAATTCAGCGGAAAGAGTCTTATATCCCAGGGGTACACTGGTGTTGGCTCGCTTACGTCGTTTTTTTTGGATGCGGGCTCGATCGGTTAACCCCCTAGCACAGGTCCCACATGAACACCCTCACTCCCTGGCTTTTACTCACTAACTCCCTGGCTTCTACTCACTAACTAACTCCTTACCCCCGCTGCTGCTTCCAGAAACCACGTTCTTAGCCATCTCGAACTTTCCACTGGGAGGTTTTCATGACCAAATACACGGACCCCTTCCGGTCTGCACCTTCTAGAAGTTTCGATCCACAGGTCCTCCACCCCCACAGGCACGGACGAAAGGAGGTATACCTACACCCCCCCCGAAAGCAATGGACTCACCAACCTCCCTTCTGTCCCTCGTAACAAAAGGCCAGTTCAGAGGACCATGAACCCTCCGGGGCATCTCGCTTCCACAGCCAAACCCAATCGCTAAGCATAAACAGATAAGATACCTCCGTGAAGGGTGTGTACGGTTACACTATTGTACTGTATAATATTTTCTTTGGGATACGCTCCTTATCCATTCTCTGTACATGCCCAGCCCATTGCAGTCTTTTAAGCTTTATCGTCACTGAGATCTCTGGCTCCTTATATAATTTGTATAACTCTTTTATTATATCTTATTCTCCATATCCCATTCTCTTTTATTGGTCCATAAATTCGTCTTAGGATTTTCCTCTTGGAAGAATTGATGACTGATTCCTCTTTCTTGTTTAGCGTCCAACCCTCACATCCATAATAAAACACTGGTCTTATCATCATTTTATATTTTTTTGTTTTAATCGCTCGGTGTATATCCTTTGATCTAAAAACTGATAGTAACGAGAAATGTCTAACATAATCCACCATAAAGAGTCTTATTATTAGTTGTGTAAGTGTTTATACTATTAACTTTACCTGTGTTTTCCTATTTTTTTTTTACCGGTCATACATGTTACGAAATGCTATGTTGATGCTCACATTAATTGCTCTCTCCCACAAATAATACACAGATTATTGATTGTAAAGCATCTGGTTTACATGGAGTGCTACACTTCACATATCCACATCAGAATATTATTGGTATTTACAGCATAGACTTGATACACTGAAGGAAAGGTTTTCACTCATCTGTGACCTACTGCATAACTTACATTAATGTGATGCATTAATGCCCGATAGTTCTTTGTCATGGTAACCCAAAATTTCATAATTTTGAAGCTGTCATCTCACTTTTACATTAATATGGACTTCTAATTGCTGGAGACTAAATATATGAAGAAGTTGTCTTAAAGTCTAAGATCTGATTCTTCTGCAATATGCAGCATGAACTTTATGTGAGATTGCCATTTGTGTGTGAAAAGCCTGCTCCAGAGTGTGTTCTATTGGAACAGTTTTGTACTGACAGATCACTCCATGTTGCTATTGTTACCCAGTGTGAAGATACATGTCACAACAGCCTTGTATGTGAATTAACATAGGCAGGAGATGTTTCATGAAAATCATATTAATCTTTTGGTAAAGTACTGGTATGTCTGTCACTGTAGATTGTGTTGAAACCAGTAAAACACTTGCTGTTTGATTTCTTGATGTTGCAGGATCTTACAGCTGGTCAATTTCCCTGCCTCAAATAAGGTGAACAGACCATTTCAGAAAAAAAATAATGGAAAAGATCGTTTGGCTCCATTTCCCCCGAGTCAGCATGACCATGCTGATGGCAACATGGGGATGAAGGCTCTGGATGTTCCAGATGTTTCATATTCAGAAATTGAGGAGAGAAGCAAGAGGAAAACTGCATGTGTGACAAAGAGGAAGACAGCAGGAGATCCACATGACTTTGGGAAACCAATTGCACAGAGTAGCCCTGTGCAGGATCACAAACACAGCAACTCTGACACCACACGCAGATGTTTCATTTTAGAGGATTTCATTGTGAAGGGAACAAGATCTGGTAAGAAGAAGGGCACTGGAGCACAAGGACAAATGCTGCAACCTTCTGGTAGCAGGGAAAGCAAGTCACGCAAGAGAATCAATCCAACACGACTGGGTACTGAAGAATCTAAGGGTTTGTATTCATGTGCATCAGTTATGGAGTATAGGTATTTACAACAAAGCAGTCAGTCTCCAGGGATGTCTTTAGTACACATCAGTTTCATATTTTTATTAGAACTTATTTATTTTTATTCAGTGTTACAAAATCTTGTATTAATTTTAGTAGTTTATGAATTTTATTTCTTCTTGATACTCAGGTGGCAGTAAATTCTGTCATTAGAAATCAGAAAATGTAATAAAGACATGAAGCAGAGTTCCTCGGACTTGATTTCATAGTATGAAAGTGCAAAGAAAATTGGGAGGGACTGGCATTGAATTGAATATATCAGCTACTGGTCTGTTGCTGCTGATGTCAATTTTCTGGACAAACCATAAGTGCATAGAAGCTATATTAGACACTGATCATGAGGAGCATGGTCTAGAAGTATATGCAGGGAAAACTGAATGTGTGTTCTTGCCATGTCACCTGAATATAGACAGAACCATAGCACGAGTACAGTGTAACTATGGGATGCATTCCAGATATTGGGACGATGAGAACAAATGAGAATTGCATTTAGGAACAGCTTAATGTTGTAATTTTTCATCTATCACTGTTCAACACTTTTAGGGATGTTCTAGGATTTTATGATTTAATTTCATTTTTCACACTGTCTGAACTTGCTAACACTATGTTGGTAGGGCATGTTTTGGTTGGCATGTAACCAGCATCAGTTACCTTTATTAAAGCATGGACAGACTGTTAATGCTGTACATGCTTGTCAAATTGTATGTAGTTCAGTATATAGATTAAGACTAGGTGAAAAATTGTAATTAAAATCCAATTTAAAACTAAAATTAAAATAAAAATTTAGTTAGTTCCTTGTTGTAGCTGTTCCAATCTGCAGTATTGTATTCTTGCAGTTGTTCATTTTCCATATTCTTGTTGGTCAGTATTTTGATTTTGTATTGCTTCGGTGTAGGTTGATGGCTGAATGTCCATGTGAAATGAATAGTAGTTAAAATAAATAGATATTGCTTCATACAAAGTTTTTAGTTATGTTTACATATTTTTATATAAAAAAAATTCACACGCCCAGCTCTAATTGTTCATAAATGATGGCCATCAGATTGAAAACTAAATAGGGTATTGGTTTTGCATGGTTTCCATGTTGTTACATTCTGCCAAAGAAATTGCCTGGACCAAAATTATAATTTTAACATCTATTACCACACTGGACTGTCTCTGTGATCTAGTGGTCAGAGTTCCTGGCTACAGATCGAGAGGTTCGGGTTCAATTCCCCATGCTACCAGATTTTCTGAGAAGTAGCGGGTCTGGAATGGGATCCACTCAGCCTTGTGAGGATAATTGACGAGCTATTTCAAAGAAATAGGGGCTCCGGTCTAGAAACCCAAGATCAACAGGCATGAGGATCTGTTGTGTTGACCATGCAGCACCCTCTATCTGCAAAAGTTGGCACTAACTTCGCCAAAAAGCTGCGGTCGCGGAGTCTGTATAGTCGCTTGCGGACTACAGGCCACGGAATTTTTTCTGTTTTTTTTTATTACCATACTGACTATCAGAACTCTATCTGTGACTTGGTTCAGAAGTTATTGGGGGTGGGGCAGACACGGGTTATTACCACAAGCCCAGCTGATCGTAATCACCTAGCAGTCAGGGAGCTGGATTTGGTGTTGACTTGTTTGGACCTTGCTCATCCTGTTGTTTCTTCAGAGAACATGAACAGATCCTTGACCCAAGTGGTTTGCAATTTATAATGGTTTCAGAAACCTGTTTCTTTGCATTCTGTTGAATCACATTGAATTTGTTTTGAAATTTTGCCTATATGAGGTCTGTTTCTGATTCTTTTCTTGTCCAGCCAAGGGGACTTTGTCATTTCTCATAAATTGTGTGTCAGAAGCTGCAGTTCACATTTTAATTTTTTGTTTTGTCCCATATAAAGGTGTCAGAAAATGTGGGATACTATAAATTCTTATTCTAGCATGCTTCTAGACTTAAAAAGTGCTTTTTGATGATGCGTTGGAAAGATTAGAAATTTAGTGTTCATGACATTCTAACCCATTAATCTTTCTTGGAAAGTAATAATGGCACTACATAAATTGTTAATTAATGTAGTAGATTAAGAATTCTGTCATGGCATTACATATCAGGAAATGGAACTGTCAACAGTCATTGCTATGAGAACCTCATGTTGTGAAGTTACAGTCGGCTACTTGATGTAGACCATTTCTGCAAGAACCTTCAAAATGACTGCTTCATATTGAAGAATATATTGTGAGCACAGAAATCCTTTCATGAAGTCCATTGTTGGGGCTCTGTAGAAATCGTTTTTGGACACAACAGTTTGATGGAGGTAGAAGAATTGACAGCCATTTGAAGTCTCATGTGTTGTATTCTGTTGTGTATTCTTTTATGAGCTATGTAACAGTGCTTTCAGTAACTACACTGTGTGGGGTTGGCTCATAAAATGACTAATAAATAACTTTGAGAGTTATTTGGCAGGAAGAAGTCATGGCCTAATCAAGGTACTATCCCGGCATCTGGCCAGAGGGATTGAGGAAAACCATAAAAAACCTCAGTTGGGATAGCTGGCATCTGAATGAAGAAGCAGATGAAACACCTCCCAAATACAAGTTTAAAGCATTACTCATAGACTGAACTGCTCTGTGGCAATGAAACTGGGGTGCTGTGTGTTGTCATGTTGCTGATATGTGTTGTAGGTGGAGATGTACGTTTTGGATTGGCATCAAGGTTGTGTGAACCCAGTGCCCCATTTTGTGAGCAGTCAATAGAAACAAGCAACAGTAAGAACTTTGATGAGGAGAGAATACTGCTGCGAAAAGAACGTCTGAGACAAATGTGTGACAACAAGCATGTAACTCACTCCGCTACAGAAGTGGTCACTTCTTATGTTAATGAATTTGTTGTGGCCAAGCCTCATCTGGTGAGCTGCCAAGAAGAGCTGCAGGTGTTAGCAGACATTTACTCTCGCCTGATGGATTGTAATTTGGTTTTAAATATAATGACAGAACTGTATTTTGTGGCGGGCTTGCTTGTGGTTCGGGTCCCTGTTGGATGTGAAACGGATGAGCTTCATCCATCTCAGGAAGTATCCAGTGAGGAAGCCACTCATCATTTGTATCGTGGAGCATGGAACATGAAGAAATGTGCTTATTTTACTACAGTACATAATTGTGTGTATTTTGCTACATCACTGTTGAACCGGCAGCGGCATATTTTAGAGTTATTTGACAAGACTACATTAAGAATGATCGCCGATAACAGATACATTTTAGCATTTATGCCAGATTTGTATGACTTCATTAGTGAATTTCTTACCAGTGACATGTCAAAAACTAGACGATGTGCACCTGTGGTTGCAGGAATTCAGGCCAATGTCTCTTTCCAGTCAGACACTGACAATCGTCACAACTTTCCAACAGACCAGGCATTTCACATTTTTCGCAAGCAACGTGACGGTTTCTATGACATTCTTCGCAAGTGGGAGGCAGACCACATGTTACCTGACTGGTCATTTGCTAATGCACTGGGATCACGTATAAAAACACTTCTTAACCTTCACAGTGAGCCTGCCAACTTTGTTCACTTTGCACGTCTGTTTCGTTCGCAGCTGCTTGGAACCTGCAGTGGTTACTCCAGTTGCAGTGTAAGTGTTACAGTTCATACCATCCACAAACCATAACCTCCTTTCTTCCTTCTTCTACTCGTCCTTGTTTGTTAAGCTTTGTCCATAATAAGTTAAATCACATGAACTCCGAACTGAAATATGTCTGTCTGTGTTACCTTTATTCCAGTCTCCTCACTTCATCACATCCTATCACTTGAGTCATTGAAAAAATGTCTTCAACAGGGGTCAAAACATTTATGGAAATTGGGTAGCCAGACAAATATTTTGATTGCTTATAGCTTCTGTGTTATAACACCATGTAATTCAGGGAGAGTGATGTTTCAGAGTAACATATTGCCTTCATATTGAGAACTGAAGAGTAAGCCAAGTAAAAAGCCAGCAAAAGCAGGCATTTTTGGTCCTGATGTTAGAGGCAATATGTTGCTCTGAAATTCCAGGCTCCATCTGAGTTATGTGACATTACAGCCCAGACAACCGTACCCTTCGGAGTCACTCCTGTGAGAACCTCAGATTGTTTGCCAGAGAAAGGTGATTCAGTAATTTTTGGCACATGTAAGATTAATATGTTGTTGTCATACTGTGTGTCCTAGACACTTGCAGCCTAGACATAAGATGTGTTACAGATTGTCTCATAGTTTCTTTAAACCTTAGGGGCAGGGAGGTCAGTAATCATTCACTAAGGATATGTAGTATGAAGCTATTTAGTATATTCTAGAAACATAACTTCTAACTAACTTCATGGAGCTGAGACCTTCTTGAGAAGCCTGCAATTGTACAGCTACCCAAGCTGTACTCAGCATTTATGGAACCCAAAGGTACATTACCATGTTATATTCTAGGAAAAAAAAATACATTACACCAAAAAATATAGAATGAAGTTGTATGTGAAGATTAAAGTACCTGGTAGTTGAAAATTAAACCAAAGAGTATATTCATGGCTCAGCCCACACTACCTGCTAATTGTCTGGAACCCCAGTTTTGGTTACCCTTAGTCTGTAGTTTTCCGAGATATAATTTACTGTACTTCCAACTAGAACCAGCTGATGCTTAGCTGTGGCTGTTGTGGCACTAGACCATGTCATTCATAATCAGACACTCATGTAATGGAAGTTAGGTAAATTATTTGCTTACATAATATTCTGAATGCGAAATGAACTTATTACACTTGTAACTGTGTCGGCATGCTCATCATCTCAGGCAGCATGCCATGTTTGTTGTTGCAGTACATTCCCTTTATTCTATAGCATTACATCTCCAACCTCTGGAGGCCAGACTCATGACTAGGGTTGACATCTTCAGTTCTACACAGTCGAACATATACTGCTTGCTTTGGTTACCAAACTCCTTTTCTTAATGGGCAAAGGATTGAGGGAGTGGAGGTTAGGTAGGTAACAGCTTTGCTGTTCTGCTTGCCTTAGGCTGTTACAGTTCTTCTGCATGCTGTCTTATATGTAGGTAAGTCAATAAGTAAGTTACAAATGGATATACAACTTAACCAAATAAGAGTACTGATTTGAAGAATGCTTTTATTTCTCAACATAATTTCCATGTACATTGAGGCACTTGTCCCATCATTTCACAAGCCCTGAAAACCAGCAGCATAAAATTCTTTGGGCTGCTGTCGGAACCAGGCGGTGCCTGGGATCATGAAGGCATACTGTTCACCGCATTCCAGCCTCAAGGACAAACCGTAAATGCTGACTCCTATTGCAGCATCCTCAGGAAACTTCTTAAGGCTAATCAACGGAAATGATCAGGACTCCTCACGAAAGGCGTGTTGCTCTTACATGACAACGCAGTTCCCTTACTGCCAACAAGACAAATGAGATGCTGCGAAATTTCAAGTTGGAAGTCCTCGAGCATCCTCAATATAACCCGACCTTGCTCCAAGTGACTTCCATTTGTTTGGTCCTCTTAAACATCAACTTTTGGCTGAATGTTTTCCCAACGATGAAGCTGTAGAAAGGGAAGTCACCACCTGGTTCCGACAGCAGCCCAGAGAATTTTATGCTGCTGGTTTTCAGGGGCTTGTGAAACGATGGGATGAGTGCCTCAGTGTACAGGGTGATTATGTTGAGAAATAAAAGCGTTCTTCAAATCAGTACTCTTATGTGTTTAAGTTCTGTATCCATTTGTAACTTACTTATTGACTTGTCCTTGTAGCAAAGACTCCAACCATAATCCACACTTCGCATGATTACACTTCCTCTAAACCATTACAAATAATGGCAAAAACAATATTTTAGAAAGTGATTATGACTTTGTAATTACAGTATGTTGAATTTTGAATGCATTGTATTTCCTCCATGGAGCAAATGACTGAGTGGGATTGCTGAAAGGAAAGGGTAAAGTCATCCCTGTACTTAACTGATTAAGCACTATGCCATGAAGATGTATGGGGGATGTGGTGTATAGAACCATGTTTTCTTGACCTCGGCACTAATTGGAGGAAAGTGGTCAGCTTCACGCTAGAATTCCAAAATGCCATCTTTGAAATGCTAAGTGGTAAATTAATCACCACCCAAAATTCTTTGGTTACCATTGGTGACCAGGCAGTCAGATTTGTTGACTCTTGATCTTTAGTGTTCCAGTAGTGCCTTTCTCCACATTTCCATTTGCAGTACTGTTTTTTTTTTGCAGTTCTGTAGCTTTAGGTTAGAATGATTTTGTAGCACACCCTACAGTACTTTAAGTTTTTACCTTAAGCAGTACAGTGACTTGGCACTGGACTGAACAATGAGAATTTGCTTCCTGACAGAGGCGGAGACTACTACTATTTTCCACTGCATACATACCAGCTCTGTGGACCATGCAGTCTCTTATTCAGATGTCATTTGTTAATGATTGAATCGTATCTGCTTGTAGTTTGCTTTTTGATACAAGAGTTCGTTACATGGTGGAAGGGAGAAAACCTAAATATTTTAGCATTTCGTGATTATCCAAACAAAGAATTATGACACTCCAAGATTCATCCTGTTGTTGATTACTTATGGCTCTAACAAGATAGAAGAAGTGAATAATATGTTCCTCTAAAGGGTTCTGATGATGGTATATAACACTCAGAATTGCTGGGTTTTTGTACTTTGTCCATTGAATATATTTTGAATATGTTTCTCTCTTCCTGATTATCTTTGTGAACAATGAACTAGATGGTGTGGATTGCATTACATTTTCTGCTGACTAACTTTAGCAGCCTACATTGTACTCTATACTGATTTTCTCAGAAATGACTCACTGCACAAACAGTTCTTAGACTGACCTTTGACATTTTTTTCTTTCTCTTGGTGTAAATAATAGTTGTATGTTCAAATAGTAACTGGTGTGGCAGTGTAAGTGAATTTTATTGAACAAAAAGTGAATATCATTTTACATATATAAAATCCATTCAAGATTTAAATATTGTGCCATATGGTAATATTGTTAAAAGGTAAAGTTTTCCCAGTGCTGAATTAATTACCATACTATGAAGAATATGAGGGATAGGAGGCATGGCTTCATGCAGTCTTAACATTTGCACAAGTTGGAGGTGAATGGCCAGCTTCATTCCCAAGACAGATTCCGTGGTACCCATTGGTTAAGAGGCTTGGTGGCTCAAAGAGTTTGGTCTGGACCTTGTGACAAATAGAAATATTCCTACCCCTATTGGGAATCAGACCCTGATTATTTAGCCTTGTCAGTCACTATACTGTCTGATGTGTCCCACTTCGCTGATGGTAATCAAAAGGTAAGGAGGCAAAACCATTAAAATAAAGAACTTCAGCCTATATTAAGAAATAAATTATACAGCTTATTGTCAGATTATGTTCATTTAGTGGCAGAAAATATTATTTGTAATTTCTCTCCTGCACCATAAAGAAGAACATAAAAGTGGAGGATTTTAGGTGTCCTGTACAAAATTATGATGAGAAGGTGAAATAATTTTTCTCCCACAAGATTTGCATCGACAGTAACTGAACATCAAGGCCAATGAAATATATAAAATCCAGGGAATGCATTTGTGAAATATGTGGACTCCAGATTAAGTACATCTTTCCACTTCTCTTTTATGTTTGACTTTTGGAAATGTGAAAAATTATGCATTTTTAAGTTATATGTAATAACAATATTGTTTAAGATTTAAGACACTGAAGAAGAGAAACTTGGATTTAGTGCTTTCAAATTTTACATTTTTCTGAATATCAGTAAAGCAGTGGTGCATTTTAACCGATTTTACGTTTGTTCAAACTTAATTTTTCCTGACTTCACATTTAATTTTTGAGTTTAACAACGTAAATTTCTGGTTTTATGTTTACAACATTATGTGGCAGAATTCAAAGAAGCACTGTCACAGTTCCGCTCGTGTCCAAAATTTATCATAGTAAAGTAAGCATGTGAGAGCTAAGAGCTCAAGAAGATAAAGAGACTGTCCTTTATTATCTGGTTAAGTAAATAACAGGGCATATAGGTTACTCAAATCACATTTAGATTTTTATTATGTTCAAACATGCTTATTTTATGATATAAAGAAATTTGCATTTTTGTTTATGTTCTTGAATTCTATGTTTATTATAGTAGTTCCTTCAAGAATGTGAAATAAAGGTTTTCTTTGTACACTGGTGCAAGGATCTCATGAGAACAAACAAAGTTAGAAAATTCTATCTGTTTGAAAAAGACTTATGTGCATCCTTCCTGTCCTAATAGTTTGTAAACTGAGAACTTTTTTTTTTGCCCAACTGTACACTTTCATTTTTATCCCTGAATTTTTATGACAGGAGCAGACAGCATTTAATGACAATGGTGGTGAGAGCCTCAGCATTCTGAAGGATGTGCACCCGGAGAAGCTGAGTCGTCTGCATGAGAGACTGGTAAATCCAGTCCAGTCTGGTGGCCCCTGTCCACTTCCATCATTCCCTGGACACCAGGAGTTTTACCATGACTTCATCCTGCACTCCTCGAATCCTGCTTTTCTGCAGCATTTGGCCGACAGTCTTGCCTCTCAGATACTGGCACTCAATGAGACCACTTTTGTGGCATCAGATTTGGAGGATAAAGGTAATGAGATAATGGATATTAAATGTTTAAGTACAGATCAAATTTTTATAAAGTGACTCATTGCATGTGCAAAAATGTGCACTTGACTGGCATAAAACTCACTGAAATCTCAACAGGAAGTGGTTACTAACTTCCCCAAAAGTATCTATCCTCAGAAACTTGGAAAAGTTTTGGAAATATTAAAATTCTAAGCTTTATGTAATAACAGTATGCATTACGTGCTGCTGCTGCCTGCAGGAAATGTTTGTGGCCGAGGTTTTCTGTGAAAAGAAAATTGTGTTGGAAATGCCTGACCTCTCTTTATCTTAACTGGCAACAGACTGTCGCAGTGCCCAATATCTAGTTGACCACGAAACAAAGAGAGATACATTTCTTTCTGTCAGAACTTGAACAGCTATAACAGTTGGTCATTGAGATATGTGGACCTTAGATGTAAAGTGATCTTTGATAAGTACTTTATGAATTTCACTAATAGCTACTCTTTTGACATAACAAAATGCACTCCAGTTTTAAACAAATGGGCAGAACCTTCGAAATAAACAGTTCCTGTTTCCATATGTAACCTGTCTGCTGAGCCACTGTTCTACATTAAATCTTGATTTTGCTCTTTATGACACTGTCAACAGTGGAAACTTGTTTTGAGCAAAGGTCAGGTGTACAGTGCTGGCTGAAGCATAAATACATCTCTTACTGTTGCCTCATGGTCCATTCCATAGCTCCTTCTAGCAAAAACTTTTACATTGCCAAGGACAGAATGAGGCAATTCCAGGCTTACATATAAACTGTAGTCTGGTTGTCATTTGTATTTTTTGTCTGAAACGTTTTCTTTCATTGTCCATCATCTTCAGTGTTTTCAAACTTGTTTCAGAAACTGGCTCTGTTCCAGCTCTAGGTGTAAACAAGGAAAGGTTCCTTGTTTAGTTGGGCCTATTACGAAGATCTAGTCTTTATCTCTTCTAGCAAGACCACTCTTTCTAATGGGCCAAGCTATGTAGAAAACTTTTGTCTTTTACATCTAATGATGGAAATAGATCAAATTTCTGACACTTATTTAGGAAAACTCTAGGTGATAGACAATGTGCAAATTAATAGCCATTTTTATTATTAATACACCATCATTACAAATATTTAGACTTCTCTTGAGGAGTGATTTCTTTGTAGAATATTGTATTACACAAGGTTCTGAATGGCACTCACTCACAATTCTGGAATATTGAAGTGAGGTGTAGTACATATAATTGTAACATTCAAGACTACTGGAACCGGAAAGGAGAGCGATGGCTAAATTGAAGATCATTTATAATATCAGTTTCTGTGATGTAGGATTTGAGGTTCTCACAAAGATTACTATGAAGAGTACCATGTTGTGGGATATGACATCTTGTAGCCCAATAGTTTCTTGTCACCAGTTCAGAAGAATGTATTTGCTCCATCTTCAGGTTTGAAGAGTAAGTGAATGGGCTCCACTTGCTGCTTCTTCCACTGTAGGTTTACTCGTCAACACTGCAGATAGAGGCAGGACATTCCTGCCAAATGTCAGTGAACCTCTTTTGGAGTACACAGCATCACATCTTAGGAGTTAGTACTTTCGTCTGATGCAGTTATGTGGTTTGTCATCATTAATAGCAGTCATATCAACTTGTATATTCATTCAGGGTGTTCAGTATTTCTAAGAAGATATCTGCTACTTGATTGTGAGCCTAATGTTAGAAAGCTGCACGATTATCATATTTTTATGAGTAAGTACCTTAAAGTGATTGTGGAAATGGCAGTATTGAAGTGTGTTGGAAGAAATGATGACACTTGTTCAGTAATCTTCTTGGTTAGGTTGATATTGAATTGTTTAGCCATCAGAATCATATTGAAACCATTCTTGATATTGTCACATATATGATTGACTGTAGACAAGGTCTGGATTAGTAACTTGATCTATTGAATGCTTACAGATCTTAACCACAAGTAACTATAGAGCTGTCGCTAATTCACATGCTCTACAATTCGCTACGGCACGCAGTAAGTCTTCTCAGTCCTTGTATCATCACTGGTTGTCACCTGGTAATGACTTCCAACACTGTAGCTTCTTCAGCTTACATATTCATGTCCTTACTGGCTGGTGATTGTCTCACAACTCACTGAACTCGAGACTTGTCCTGCTTATAACACGCGGCATGGATCACACAGAAGACACCTCTCCCAACATTTCTTATATTATTGCATCACATGGCTGTCATTAGAATACATAGAGAACTCCATTCCTGTGTAGCTGTTTACAGCCAATTACCTAGCAGCAGCCATTGATTACAGAGTCATTACATAGCAACAGGTCTACATGCCACAATATGTAATTAGTGTGAAATTCATCCATTGTACACATATATTAAGCATATATATGTACATGCATGTAGATTGCTGTCTAGTCCAGGTCATACCACTGTTTTGTGCTAGAAAATTTGGTATACTCCATAAGCTATGGGATTGAGGGTGCATCTATTCAGTTAGTGATACAGACCATTGCATCATCATTAGAAAGTTACTAGAGTCAATTTTCAACATACTTTGGTATTCATACATCAGTGGGAAATTCTGATATGCTTAACACAAAACTTCTTTTCCATAATGTTGCATACACAAGGTATAATGTACCCAGGTTTGCAGAGTAGATAGGCATCACTTTCTTTCTCGGAAAGAAATTTCTGTTGGATTTCCCTCACCTACAAATATTGTCATTCCATTTCAAGTCACATATGTTTTGGTCAGCATAGTTCAGAAGGCACTTTTTGTTTATGCTTTAACTCTACAGTCTTCCATGAACTTTGGCCTCTCTTATAGCAGATGTCTATTCTTTCTGTTGTTTTTTTTTTTGTGCTCATTGTAAATAGTGGTTCCAGGAGGAGTGGGAGGTAGAGCTGTAGGATTAAAGTTGTATGGTTGGAATATCCCATTGTCAGCTCAGTCAGTATAATGGCGATGTTACAGGCTGGCTGACTGAGGAATTTGAGTTTAGTTCCAGGCAAGGGCAAGAGATTTTTCTTCTCAGTAGCATTCATACTGGCTGTGGGGCCACCCAGCCCCCCCCCCCCTCTAGTGGTTACAAGGGGCTTTTGCCTTCAGGATAAAGCGGCAGTGACCAATGGCTCAAGTGGTAATGCCTCTGAACTGTATTTGGAAGGTGCTCAGTTTGAATGTTAGCCAGGACACTGAGTATCCTGCATGATAGTTGTCATGGTTTTCCTCAGTTCTGCAAGGTTAATGCCTTAAAATTAGGATATGCCTCTGTCCTTCCTTGCCCATTACTATACATTATTCAGTAATAATCCCGTTACTCGTCCCTTTAGTGTGGCATCTCTAGGTAAACCATAACTGACTAATGAATGAGATGAATAAAGTAGCATGAGAATGATCACTGCATCTAGTTCTTAGGTTAAGAGTGTGTTGAGGTGTATTTCCACAGCACAGTTTGTCTCCATGTTTTGTTACATGATTGAGCGCATATATAATTTTACCTTCAGTTTTAAATTTAAAGCCAATCATCAAAGAGATAGGTATAGCAACAACAGGAGGTCCTTGCTTTGAATTTCAGCTAGGACACAACTATCCTGAGGTCTCTGATGGTTTTCCCCAGTATTTCTAGGCAAATGTTACGATAGTACCTCTATTAAGCCATAGTCACTTCCTTTCCATATCCTTTCCAGTTCATTTATTTATCATCATATGATCTAGTGCTGTATAATTCTGACACTGTCAGCAATCATTATTAAGCAGTCAGCTAACCAGACTTCAGACCCCCAATTTCACATTCCTCCCATTTTCATGGAAATGTATGTTTCTTAGTGGGGTTGTCAGCCTCCATGTTATCTTTCATTACAGTTTGATTAAGGATTAAGTTAGCATCTTGTGCTGATGATTGCAGACACATCTGTTGATGATACCACTCGCAGCAATTACTTGACATGTGTGTCAGCTCTCCGCTTGCTTGCCAAGTTCCTTGGTTTGGTCACGTTCCTGCCATACAGGTCAAGAGTGAAAGTGCTTCCAGAAGACATAGTAGGATCACAGTCTGCAGTACGTGCCAAGGTGAGATTGCTGAACATTGCACAGACTGAACGGTACCCATAGAGGATAGATGTGAGAAGTAGTTGGTACTAGTGCTCTTGGGCTTGTAGTGTGAATTGTCTTATTCTCCTTTCATGCTTTGGATACCAATGCCTGTTGCACCTTTAATTGGCCTTCCCATCTTCTCATTGGGCATCCAAAATTTCTTTTCCAGTGGATTTATATTTTGTTACCAGTTTAAGTGAATGCAAATGTTACAGCTGTTTGAGCTAAGGAATTTTTAGTGGAATTCAATGCTCAATTTGGAATGAATCCTGACACCAGTCTGCTAATCATGTTATTCAGTTGCAGACATCAGCATTGTGGCTTGTAGACCCATTGCTAGGGGACGACCATGAAATAAGAAGCTATACAACTGCTGTTCCTCTGCAAACAATGGTCTTTGCTAGGCAATGGCTGAGTAGTGATCACATGGGCATCCCATCAGACATGAACGCAATAATTGCAGAGGAACAGAAAAATGGTGTTTTCTGCGCAGTCCATGCTGAAATGTTATATAAGCAGGGCCAGTCAGTCAGTCAGTCAGTTGGAGAGTAAGTTAGATAACTGCTAGGGTACAGTTTTTAGCAGTTGTTAGCTGGTAGAAGCTGGTAGTTGAGGCTGAGGACAGTTCAGGAACCCAGATTGTGCTCCGTTGAAAGCCACTACCAAACAATGGCTAGCGAACACCGTTACAGACTGAGAAGACTAGATTCTAAAGGGTTTTGACAAAGGTGTATAATACTCAGAATCATTAGGTTTTTGGAATTTGTCCATCGTCCAGTATTGTAAAGAATAGAAAATATGACATTTCAGAAACTGGATCTGTTTCCATCCTCAGGTGAGGTGGGGAGACACCTACTCTTTTGGGTTCCTTAGAAAGAGCTAAAAGTGATTGAGGTTAGCTCTTTCTAAGGAACCCAAAAGAGTAGGTGTCTCCTTCTCTCCCGAGGATGGAAACAGATACAGATTCCAAAACGTTGTGTTTCCTGGTTTCTAGAATACTGAACAACGGACCAAGTCCAAAAACCCAGTAATTCTTAGAAGACCTAGTGTCTTATAGTGATTTGTGAAGTGTGTAGAACAGCGAGAGCATAATCCTTACTTTAGTTACAACTTGTGAGAGTTGAGTAAATTCAATTACCAATCCAAACCCCATCTTAAGTCGTTCAATCACGTGACACTTTTATGCTCCAAAAGCAGTTAGAAGCTCCACAGATTGATTACTATCCAAATAGTGTCAGTCCAAGGTCAGGGTTGCTACCTGGAAGCCTCTGACAGGCTGTGTGTGTGTGTGTGTGTCAGAGTTACCCTACTGTTGTTGTTATTGCAGAGGGTGGGTTTCCCCATGCACTTAGACCAGATATTGGTCCATTGTGTTTCCCCTTGTTATATTCTACCAGTCTCTATACTCTACCGGTACTGGTGCGTGCCGTCAGTCCCGACTCAGCCAGCGAGTTTGGCCTCTACTGGCTCAGCGGTATCTCGATGCTTCCCCCATCTACCAGAGGTGTTAGAGACTGCTGTTGGGTGGGAAATGTCCTGAATTTGGCTCAGAGGTCCCCTTGAGACATGAGGTTCTTTTACGTGCCGTAAAGCTACGACGCGGGACCCATGGCTTAAAGCCCCTCCCGGAGGACTTGTTCCCTGAATTCTTCTGCCCTTAAAAATTCCACGACCTCCACTGGGTTTGAACCTGCGTACCTTGAGTCACGAGGTGGGAACATTACCCCTAGACTCTGGAGGCCACTTTACCCTACTGTAACTCAGGTGTCAGAGTCTCTTCAGTGAGAACAGAATGGCACTGGAAGGTGAGGTTGATGACTGAGTAGGAGAGGCTGTAGGAGACATATCCCACTTCCCACATCTACCGAAACAAAAAAGAAGTTTGGGAAGACTTCTGAAATGATGAAAGGTTTCTGTTTCATAATATCCGGTTTTTAGTGGGCCTGATTTTGCAAAGGAGAATGAGGAAGCGGAGAATTGGTTGATGTATATGAGGAGGAAGATGATCTTTAGGATAAAGATGGTGGAAGGTGAATAAGGAGAATGGGTGTTAGGCAGGTGGGGATGATGATATGAAGAAGGGAAGTATGAACACTGAAGATGAGGATCATATCAGTATTGTTCCTTTCATTTGCCATTCATTCACAGTGCACAACACACCCCACCTTTCAAATCATGCAGTGGCACTTTAAGAACATTATCAGAATTCTCTGTGCTCCATTATCTGTTATTGTATCTCTTTACATAACCACTTAAAATGAACCATGCTTCATAAGAATAAAATACAAGTTAAGGGTCAAGAAGTCCATTGAATACTGATTCCTGAAACTGCTTACAGTCCGGAATTATTACTATGTAATCTTGAGACAAAGGGCTATGGACAGCTTTAGTTTGTAAGGCCATAACTTCAGCACCTTGTACCAATGCAAAATGTACTTTTTGCCAATCCATACTGAAGAACCAAAAGACATAACGACTTCTCTGGGCTTGCATCTGGTCAAACACCCATGTCTTGAAGTTTTTCTTCAGTCAGTATATCTGTTTCAAAATTTCTTTTTATCCAGCACTGTTTCCATAGAACATAATTTTGTTATTATGCTGTAAATCCTTGCTTTACATGGCACTGTAATGTCAGAATACAAGGTGGTTCAAATATGACTGGAACTGATTTAAAAAAAAAAAGACATAATTGCCAAACACTTACTTGCACATGTCAGTCTTCAATGTACTCCCCTCCAGAGTCAACACATTTTTTCCAACTTTCTGGAAGCATCCTGATGCCCACCCCAAAAAAAGACTTGTGGTTGGCGGTCTATCCACTCCCAAACAGTCTGGATTACGGCGTCGTCCACAAACCGCATGCCTTGCAAGTCTGATTTGAGCCTTCTGAACAGGTAGAAATCACTTGGTGCCAAATCAGGACTGTACGGCGGATGTGTCAGAAGGTTCCATTTCAATTTCTGGAGGGTTTCCATTGTTGTTTTGGCCATATGGGGGTGATTGTCTTGAAGGAAGACTACCCACTTTCCACCTCTCTTCCGCCTGGATCGGATCTTTTCCTTCACGTCTGTTGCCAGGAGGTCTGAGTAATAAGCTGCATTGACTGTTCTGGCATCTGTCAGAAAGTCTACATGGATAACCCCCAGCCAGTCCCAGAAGAACGTTGCCATCACTTTTCCTGCTGAATGGCTCCTCTGCGCTCTCTTGGGTTTGGGAGAACTGGTATGCCGTCACTCGCATGATGATTGCTGAGACTCGGGAATGAAGTAGTGCACCCATCTTTCATCGGTGGTCACTATAGACTTCAAAAATGCATCACCTTCTTCTTCAAACTGCTGTAGGAAACGATTGGCAACTTGCACGCACACCATTTTGTTCACATCCGTCAAAGTGCATGGTACCCACCGTGCATTCACCTTGCGATAGTGCAGGTGATATTTCACGATGTCTTCTACACTACCAACACTGATGGACAGCATTGCTCCAAGTTCCTTGATAGTGATGCGCCTATTCTCATGAATAAGTGTGTCTGCACGATCAGTGTTTGGCTTGGTGATGGATGTTCGCGGCCGACGATCATGCGGTTCATTCTCCACGCGCTCTCTGCCCTCTCTGAAGCACTTACACCATTCAAACACACGGGTCTGTGAGAGACACTCTTCCCCATACTGTTGGTGGAGTCTATGGTGAATTTCAGCGGTGGGACGTTTTCTCTAACGAGGAATTTGATCACAGTGCGTTGTTCCATGCTCCGCGGTACCTTCTGTATGCTCATCCCTCTAGCAAGTCCCAGACAGCACTGAACAGGTTCTAACCCTAACAAGAGGGAGAGTGGAGGTTGTGGCTACAATCTCTCAAGGTTGCACAGCTGCTGTGCAGTGCGACTTGTTTACAAAAAAATCAGTCCCGGTCATATTTGAACCACCTAGTACTTCTTGCAAAACTTTCTGTAGAATTTCCTCTATGAAGATTGTTGTACACAGGTATCATATGTGTAGGATCTGAAGCTTTCACAGCTGCTGAAGTCGATAAAATCTTATTGGACCATCAGCCATACATGGTTAAAAATTTCTGACATTTCAAGGACTGTCTCTGTCATCACCATTAGGATCTGATGTAAGACTGACTGATCCCAAGAAAATTTTATTGATTGAAAAATTTCTGTTGAACACTGTATTTCACAACAGTGGGAACTGTACTTGTACATGTCTCAAGGACAACAAAACTAAACACACACAGTGCTATCGACATAGGCAGCTTCAGTTGAGTGACTAAGCAGCAGTTTGGCAGCCGACAGTGTACAGACATGGAAGAACAAATTTCTAGCCAGCCAGTCTAATGGTAATCTGCCTTTCCTCTCTGTAGTTGTTTGTTTCAAAGTGTCTGCCCATTTCTTGCATTTCAGATCATTCAGAGTAATGCATGGCTGCATATTGATACAAAGGAAGATTACAAAATTTATGTAGAAATAAAACTCAGTGTGTGGTAGTAATATCAAAAGTAACAGCTATTTGTAAAATTTATGAAGTGTCAGTATTTATTTTGTATCTGAAAGCCAAGTCACACCATCACTGACTGTTGTATGTAATTGGCCAAGTTGTAACTGAAGAAGGGTATCTCTGTTGGTTAGTGATGAACTAGACAACGGCCGTTGTGTTGCTTTGTTGCGTGTTGAAGGAGAAGAGTGCCATATACTTTGGTGAAGTTTGTTCTTAACAATTTCTTGTTGTCATACATAAGATTTTGTATTTATTTCTGTACCTGATGAACAAGAGCCTGTCTCAAATATGGGCTATGTCTTGCAGTTATGTCCACAGTTGGAAGTCTTGGGATGCATAAAGGAGGCCAAGCAGAGTCACAAGTTGGTGCTAACGTTACCATGGGTTGTAAAGTACCTGTCCATGATGGATCCAGTCTCTGCTCACCTCCCTTATTATAGTGCTGTGTTCGAGCAATTGTTTGGTGTATATCAAAACATGCACTTGTCTGGCAGAGCCTCATTACTCATCAGACTGGTGCTGGGCTGGCTGTTTCAGTCTTCAAACATTCTGGAAGGACTGTTCTATGCTTGGAAACAAGATCCGAGCATCAGCAAAACATTACACACAGGTTATTATTCCTTACAAAAGTTGTCATGTGTTGTTAGGTTGTGGTTGTCTAGTTTATCAGGTGATATATCTTGGCATTAGTATTGTCTATGAGAATCCATCTTCAGGATGCAAATTCTACCTTGGGGATGGTAGCATTGTGTTCTTCCAAAATTTTGGTAATCATGTGGGGAAGTCATAAAATTGTAATTATCACCCAGAAGAAACAGAGACACGGGTGCAAGAAATTTTATGTGAGTTTGTCCTTCTATACATATGCCCCCTGCAAGGCCACACATTTTCCTCAATGATGAACTAGCTGCTGGATACCATGATCATAGAAGGTCTCATTTTGACTGTATGGGAAGTCCTTCACTACTGAAATTACATCATCATCTTGGAACGCTTACCACAAAGTGGCTTCTTTAGCCATAGAAAGAAGAAGTTGTTCAGTGCCAGGTCTGGTGAATATGGTGGATGGGGGAGAATTTCATATCCCCAACTGGCAGTAAGTGTTGTCGTAGCATGACCAACATGACCTGGTGTGTTGTTGTGAAGAAGTTGCACACCTGTTTTCCAGCATTCTGCTTCACATTTTCTTGATTTCCTCCTGTAATTTTCTCAGAAGGTTCTGGTAATTCTCGCCACTGATAGTGACGCCCTTTTATGCGTAGTCGGTCATGATGACAGCCTGCCAATCCCTTAACACGCTCAACATCACCTTTCCTGACAATGGCTGGGATTTGACCTTCTTTGGTGGTGGCAAGTCTTCATGTTTCCACTGCTTGCTCATTTCCTTTGTTTCAGGGTCTTAATGATAGACCCAACATTCATCCATTGTGATCGGACGGTTGAAAAATTCCACCATTTTGTCTTGACACAACTGCAGATTTTCTTTACTACATCCATCCGTTTTTGTTTTTGAACTGGTGTCAGCAACTGTGGCACCTAATGCTCAGCAACCTTTGTGATGTGTAACTCGTCATGGATGATGAAAACCGACCCATGGCTAATATGGACCTCATGAACAATAGCTTTGATAGTTATGTGCCTATGGGATAGGGTGAAAGCTTTCACCTGTGTCACAATTCCTGGTTCCTTAGCGAGAGATGGTTTCCACTTTGGGGTTCATTTTCAAGGTTTGCCTGTCCACAATGAAAGTGCCTCTTCCACGTGACCAGTGTGTCATATGATGGTACACCTTCCTGGTACACAGCAGTCATCTGGTTGTGTCCCTGGCATTCTTCCCTTGCAAATGCAGGAACTGTATCACAGCGCGAGCCTCCACTTTCTCAACCAATGTTGCCATTTTGCTTCTGCCTTTTCCGGTGGCTCCCTCTGTCCTCTTGGCGCAGGAAAATTTGACTGTTCGGCAAGCTCAGGAAGTGGGCTATCTCCTTTGTAGAACAATATTTTGGAATTACGATTTTCTCATGGTGATAATTAAAACATTATGACTTCCCATCGTATCTGCGAGACTATAAAGTGTCATGATATAGAAGACCACAATCCTCCTTCTGATGATGAAAATCAGAAATTTCATGCTGACAGATGATACTTATAATTATTGGGGATATCAGTCGTGAGACAGGCTTTGACAGGAGAAGGATAGTAGTATGAAAACAGTTTGTATTCACCTAGTGGTTAGCTGAAGAAGGTGTAATATTAAATGCACCAGTTGACTAGAATCTTGCAGTCTTTGATCATCAGTAAGACATCATGCTCTTGCCTCTTTTCCCCTCAGTTGTTTGGCACTGCTGTTTTATCAGCCATCTCCCATGGAGTAGCTCACAGCCCCGTTGCCTTACCCTTTATCTGTCCCCTTAATTTCCTGAATGGTTTCTCTGAAATGCTGGTATCTGTCTACCAGACTGCCCACTGTCACATCCCAGAAGACAGCAGTTTTTGTATCGTGTGTGCTGTAAAATGTGTAACTGCTTTCAGTAAGGACTGGTCTGAAGTCTGGCTTTCGAAGGATTGATAATAATGTATGTTTCATACCATTGTGTCACTTTAATTTTTCAAAGAACAGGACAGGAACACAAATTGACATAGTGCCCTTGGCAGGACTAAAGTGATTTATGCTGTGCTTGGCTTTTACTTTCTTGCATTCATTAGTCAGACAAGTGGAAGCTGAGCAATGCAAAATATTCATGTTCACTGGGCCTTCCCCCCCCCCACCCCGCTTAGTGGGGGGTGGAGTCCAACTGGGTCTACTCGGCATGGCAGCCACTGATTGGCCCATTGTAGCCTGCCCCGGGTGATTATGATGATGGAGAATTTGGTGGAATGAAGATTGGCAGGGGAAACCGAAGTACTCGGAGAAAACCCAACCCACTGCCACTTTGTCCACCACAAATCCCACTTGACCAGACCTGGGATCGACCTGGGCCATTGCGGTGGGAAGCCAGTGACTAACCGCTTGAGCTATGGTGCGGCCTCTCCATTGGGCCTTAGTACAAGCAGTAGACTGAGATGGAAAGGTTTTAATCCATAATGTGGTACACAGAATTATCAGCGATGTTCTTTCAAGTTTATTAAACTTACTTAAAATGGGAGTTATGAAAGATGAGTTAGTGAAAGTCTGATATATCAGACTTAAGTCAGTTCTGTCCATTGGATTAAGGAATACATGGTAAAATCCAATATATTCTTAAGTAATGTAGGCTTTATTATGGATCAGTGTGCCATAAATTCCAAATTTACCCAACATCTGTTTGGTGGAAGCCTCCCATACTGAATTTAAACAAATTTTGGGAAGGTGTTTTGTCGGACGCATGTAGAAGTCCCTATATAGCCTTAAGTAAACTATGCTTTATTAATATGGTTGAATGTTGGAATTGTCCAACAACCTTTAGTGGAAGTTGCTCCCTATCAAATTTGAGCAACATCTCTGAAAATGTTTTCATGGAATGTTGGGAAAAGTCCATCTATTTTTTTACTTTTACTAGGCTTCATTATGAATCCATATGTCTGAAAATTGGAATCACCCAACATCTGGTAGAAATCTGCTATACCAGACTTCACCAAAATTAGTCAGATGTTTATGGAGTACCAATAAAAGCCCATTTAAACTTTATCTTTAATCAATCTATCTGAATGTTAGACTTGCCCGCCAACTCTCATGTCAGATTTAAGAAAATCTAACAGTACTGTTCCTGATCTTGAGGTCACAGACAGACATGACTTTCACAAAAATAGCCTTTTGTACTTTGTAAAGAATGCCTAAAATTAATTAGGCATATGAAGTAGTTAATACCACTGAACAAATACTTCTTGCAAGTCAAATGACAGTCAGTTGGTCAAGAAAATCCCCCCCCTCCCAACATGGAGCCTGAAGATTTGTAACTGTTCACAAGTTCCTGCTACTGGCCAGTCTAGTGACTGAGATCAAGTCCAGTTTATGAAAACATACTAAGTGGGTACAGTCTAGGTTATGTGCCATTAGAAAGATGTTTTATAAGTTAAAAATCTTTATACATATCAGTCATTTTAAGTGAGATGAACGAATATATAAATTTTTAGGACTGAATGATCCAAATTTATTAGATGTTTAACCATGTTATGTGTGATCCTCCTAAATGCACTCCATGGTCCATGGAGTAGACTTCTGGCCATGGGTGAAACAAGTTAGCAATGAGACAGACAGAAGCTTGTGTTGACAGGGGAACCCACACAGTTGGTGCCTCTGGATGCTCTTGATATAGTGGATGAACACTGCCTCTACCTCTGCTGCCCCTACATGGGTGAATTGAAGCTTTGCCTGTCAGTTGGGATGGGCTCCTCATGCAGAACAGTGAAGCACATCACTCCAGTGTCTGCATCATTGGATACACCATCTGCTGCAAAACAAATACAGGTAGTATCCAGACTCATTAGCTGTGTGGTTTACATTTGATACTTCTGTGTCACTAGTATCTCATAATTCATACTCAGTCTACCATTTCTGATTTGTGTTATATAAGTTCTACCATTGCCATAGCATTGTTATATTAATATTAGAGTAACACTTGACAATTCAACGTGAAGTCTCTGCCATTTGTTATATAAGCTTTCATACTACTAACTCCCCTTGCTTTCTTCCGTATTCCTTTCCACTCCTGCTTTATACTGAATGATGTGCTGAAGCTGATGTTTAATGCCATCTCTCATGAACAACATGCACAAATACCTGATCATCAGGGCCTGGATTTTGATGACCTGAAAATATTTAAAAAATGACCGAAAAAAAATCCAGAAAAATGACCTAAAATATGACCCAAAAATGTAATATGCAGGCCCCGGATTTTGATGACTTGAAAATATTCAAAAATATGACCTAAAGGACACTTCGCTTCCATGTTATTCACATTTTAGAAAACAAGAAGAAAAATTCCCTAAAATGGCCAAAAATGACAAGAAATACCCTTACAAGTCCAAAAATGTAGCAAAACATTACCCCCAAAATGAAAAAATGACCTTAAACCTAAAAATGTCAAAAAATGACAAAAAATTACCTATAAAATTTACATTTCTGTAACCAGCAACTCATATCCGAGATTTATATATTTAAGATCAAGAGCATTGCATAGGATACAAGGAAAAAAAGATGACATGCCATCAAAATCCGGGCCCTGCTGATCATATACCAGCTCCTTTCTATTGTGAAATGGCGCCCGAAAGCTTCATAATGAACGATATGCCGAAGCTGATGTTTAATGCCATCTCCCATGAATAACATGCACAAATACCTGATTATATACCAATTCCTTTATATTGTTAAATGGTACCCAAAAGCCGGAATATTACAGTCAGAATAGATGTTCATTGCTAGGCAACAACTCGGTAAACACATTTCTATGGCAATGAATATGCAAGCAACGATCGAGTAACTTCTGTTGCTGTGCAGTGGTGCTGTAAATATGCTTTACCACCAAAGAGAGTCTGTGTCTTCTGCGTGGTCCATGCAAAGTGGTTATCAAGAAGACTTCAGTAATCAAGCTGAGCTGAGTTTTGGGACACCAGCCTGCCAGGGTATGAGCTTGGGAGCAGAGGAATTGAATTGAGTTGAGTCTTCGGAATTGGGAGTAGTTATCATGAACTGGGTTGAATTCTGGGAGATTGCAGTCAAAGGTGATTGAGACATAATGGCAAGAAATGAATTAGACTGTACAGAGAAGACTTCATATGTGATTTGAAGTTACAGTGAGATGGTTATTCAAGGTGCTATCAGAAAGATCCTGGACTAGGTAAAAAAAATGCTGGCTTAACTTACTCTATTTTGGCTGCCATTTCCTGCAAAGTATTCTCCTTGGGAATGTATACAGCGATACTGTTGTTTTTTCCATGCTTCAGAAGCACCGTGGAAGTCATTTTCCCAAATACTATTGAGTACCGCTTGTGATTCCCTTTGAATGTCAGACACTGTTTCAAAACGTCATCCCTTCAGTTTCATTTTCAATTTGGGAGACAAAGCAAAATCACAGGAGGCTAAGCCCAATGAGTAAGGAGGATGGGGAACAATAACAGTGCTGTTGTTAGTAACAAACTCTGTGGTTTTCAGGGATGTGTGGGTGGTCGTTTTTTGTGATGAAGGAGCCAGTTGTGGTTGCGTCAAAGTTCTGGTCTTTTTCATCACACATTTTCTCTCGTGTGTCAAAACGTTATAGTACAAGTAAAAGTCAGAGTTGAACATAGTGTTAGGAGGAACAAATTCATGGTGAACAATCCCATTCATGTCAAAAAAGAACCAATGAGCATGCTCTTTCTTGAACTCCGGGCCTGCTGCTCCTTTTTTGCTCTTGGTGATTGTGGACTCTTCCACTGCAACAATTGTTGCTTCGTTTCTGGATGATTTTGTGTCATTTTTCTGGTGCTTGGTTGCCCTGAACGTTGGTCATCTTCAACTATCACTCGATCTGCCTTGAAACGTGAATGGCGCTCAGAAACCACTGGCTAGCTTAAAGAATGTTCTCTAAAACCCTCATGAAGCATTTCAAAGGTTTTTGTAGCAGATTTACCGAGCCTCACACAAAGCTTGATGAAGACGCGTTGCTCAGTTTTGCCATTCATCACAGAGAGAACGAAACACAAAGTCGAAAAAGGACTTGTGTAAAGAGAATGCATGTTTACATGGCAGACTGATGCAGCAGGCTTGCAGATGTGTGACCTTGGCCTCCCCTCTCTTTCACCAAGGCAGTTACAACAATAACAGTCCAGGAACTTTCCAATAGCACCTCGTAAATCCTTTGCCAGGATATGACTATTGAAGACTGAGAATTCTAGTGCATGTGTAATGGTGAACTGTAAAGTGTGTAGATCAGCGATAATGCTGTATTGCCTATAATCCATAGTTATATGAATAAGGTGTCCATAAATCCAATGATCCTGTCCAGAACCTGCCTTGTAAGTCACGTTCAGCTGCCTCATTTGCCACATAGCCTGTTGCTAATTCTAGACCTCATAACATAATTTAAGTGTCTCGTGTGCATAATTCAACTTCTTCAAAGTTTTTCTTAGTGTTGGCAGCAGTGCATTCTGTCATAGCATTGCTACCACATTAGGAGGGCATGAAGCAGGGCTTTTTAGGCATCCCGATTGCTAGCCAGTGTTAACAGCACCATGGCTAAGGACTTAATCACTATGTAGCAACTGTTGTAAAGGAAGAGTGGTAGAAGTGGATCATTCTGGCAGATTTATTTGAGGCAGGCTCTAGAGAACCCTGTTTTGAAGAGGTTAAGAAGTGCTTTGTACCCCCAGCACCCTGATAACTGGAACCCCTAGTAACTTGTAATTAGACCTCAATTTCTATCTTATGTCATGCAGCTACAGCTGGAAGAGAGTTTTTTCCATGGACAGCCAGCATCCACTCGGAAGACTGTGGAGTATGTTGCAGAGCGTGTTGCATCCAGCTGTGTGAAGCACATTTGTAGCACATTGCTTCAGAGTGTTAGGAAGCAAGGGGCTAAACATGTTTCACAGCTTATTTCTACCAGCACTGTCCTCAGCACAATGAACAGCGAATCGGAAACTTCTATGAAGCAGCTTAAGGTTTGTCTCACAAATACGTTTTCATTATATAATTTCCGAATTTTGTGAAGTGTAATATTTGTCTGCCTTCTATACTGGGATTTTATTGCCGAGCCAGACATTTTTTGTCGGAAACTGTATTTAGAACTTACTGAATTCAAAATGGAAGTGGAAGGAAACAAGTACCAACATTCAACAAAATCAGGAGTTAGTTAAAATTTTGTTGCATTTGAGTGACATTTGTAGGAGAAGATGAAATTTACCTACACATTGGCAATAGCCTGTCACTTGATGGGATTAGTGCTGGCATGTGGAAAAATTTGACCCACCAGATGATGGGATGTGGTTATAAGAAAGATTGAAATCTGTTTGTAAGAATATTGTAATATTTACCGAATAAACAAATATTTAGATAGTGTATATAAAGCTTGGTGATAAAAGAATGGCTGTAAAATTTTGCAACAATTTTTTTTGTAAATATCACTGGCAGTAGAAACTGCTGAGATCACACCTTCCCAGATATAATTTTGAAATTTTATAAATGTCACTGACACTAAATAGATGAACACTGTTGGGGTCACACCTTCCCAGATGTAATGAAGAAAGTAGTATTATGTTGTGGCATTCTGCTGCAGATCACTTTGTATCAAGTGTTCCACTGCCTCACGTGCAACACTTCTTTCTATAAAACTTTTTAAAGGTTATCCACTTTAAATTTTTGTGCATCATATAACTTTTAACATTTTAGAAGTTTTTCACATTTATGCATGTTTCTACCCATACGGTCATCATCATGTGTTTAAAATTATGGTTGAGGGAACTGCTGTGCTCCTGTTATTGGTCATTTGAAAATGTGGTGAATTTAAATATTTGGGAATAATAGAACAAACCAAAATTTGATTCATGAAGAACTAAAGAGGTGATGAATTTTGGTAATGCTTTCTGCCACTCAGTTTAGAACCTTTGTCTTCTAGTCTGCTGAAGTATACAAAACTGTAATTTGTCTGTAGTATTGTGTAGATGTGAAACATGGTCTCTGACATTAAGGGAAGAATACTGACAAGTGTATATGAGATAAGGGTGCTGAGGAGAATGTTCGGACTGAAGAGGGATGAAATAATAGGAGGCTGGAGGAAACTGAATAGCAAGGACATAATTCATACTCTTTATCAAATACTATGAGAATGTTCAAATTGAGAGGATGAGATAGACAGGGCATGTAGCATGCATAGAGGCGAAGAGGAATGCATGTAGGATTTTGGTTGGAAAGCCAAAAGGAAAGAGACCACTAAGGAGATCTAGATGTGGGTGCAAAGTTTATGTCAAAATGGATCTTAGAGAGATAGGATGGAGTGATATGGGCTACATTCATCTGGCTCAGGACAGGGACCAGTGATGGGCTCTTGTGAACACGGTAATGAACTTTCAGGTTCCTTAAAATGTTGGGAATTTCTTGAGTAACTGTATGACTGGCAGCTTCTCAAGAAAGGCTGAGCTTTGTGGAGTTAGTTAAGTTCATATCATCATCATGATCATCACCTATGGAGAATTTAACCATTGTGGGACATCACCTCATGTGACAAAGCCTTCTCCATATGTATTACCTCACTTGGTCTCTCCAGGTTCTCCTTGTTGATCCCAGTGACTCCATATCTTCACTTTTCTTGTCTATAAAGAGTCCATGCATGAAATTTATTCACATCAATTTTTTCCTTAATGTGACCATTTCTCTGATGTATTGAAGATTGCTACCTTCTGTACTCTGTGTCTGCATAGTCAAGTAGATAGCTACCAACATTTTGAGGGAGTGTGCTAGGCCCATCTTCGAGGAAGAGTAGAAGATATTTTATTGCATCCATTTTCAGAGTAGAAAAATAAATTTTCTACCTTAAAGATACTTTGGCATGTTCCTCTGAAGCACTGGTAATGATCTACCCAGACTACATGATATCATGTCTCAGAAGGTAATCATGTTCATTATCTCAGCTGTGAAAACCTCAAATCTCATTTCTTGCAGGGGTTAAATTCACGCTTAATGCCCTGTTTTTATTTCATCTGTGATGCATAATGTGCCATTAATATTCTGAGTCTGAGTACCAGTCTTATATTACAACCGATGGTCAGTTGGCCAGTCTGTCTTGGATCAAAGCACCCACCTGGGGCGTAAGACCAGATCTTTGTTACTGTCAGACAGTTGTGGGTTTGTTTATGTGGGGCATTCTCTCGATGGGAACATGGGTCTGTCATTTTCAATTGCTGCTGGCCCTCACCAGTGCAGTCATGCTGGGGCCTGAGCCCTGTGGGACTCAGCGACCATATTTTACTGTCAAAGATTCGAGATCTCTGTTTTTGTCACCACCTACAACTCACAGGGCTACGGTGGAGGTATTAGACCCCACCTCCACACAGGATTTTAAATTTTGCATACTGGGGGTTGGAGTCCAGTTGGGTCCACTTGGCATGGCGGCCACTGATTGACCTATTGTTCCTGCCCTGGGTTATTATGATGATGGAGCAATTTGTGGAATGAAGATTGGCAGGGGAAACTGAAGTACTCGGAGAAAACCTACCTCAGCACCACTTTGTCCACCACAAATCCCACTTGACCAGACCCGGGTTTGAATCCAGGCCACCGCGGTGGGAGGCCAGTGACTAACTGCTTGAGCTATGCTGCGACCTTCCACACAGGATCATTAATATTCTGTGATGTCTTGCAATTCATAAGAGCTGTATGGCCATATGGTTATTAAATTACATTTCTGTAAACCACTTGCACTTGGTGTTGGTATTGTACAGGAAAGTGAAATACTCATATTATTTTCATTTCATGCATCCTGCCGTGTTACAGAATATACAACCTCTTTATTTGACCGTCACAACACAGCATACGAGTATATAGAACTTCAAGGACAATGCTCACTTATAGTTCTGCAGTGTGACGGTCAAATAAAGAGGTTGTACTCATATTATTGCCTACATATTTAGTGTGAAGCCTTTATAATGCTGATAGCTTATGAGGATTTTGGCTGTTGGTCAGGAGTTGCTGCTGACAGAAGTGGCTTCCATAGCTGACAGATGCTGCGGCGACTTCAGGCATCAGTGTGATGTCAGGGAGTATTGCAGGAAGAGGTGCAAGGTTGCATTGCCAGTTCTCCTGGCAGGTGATGTGTTAGAGCCTGTATGCACCATGTGTGCACAGATTGCTGCCAGATTCAGCCAAGAACATGTCAACACATGGATACAGTCGCATATCACTCCAGGTGTGTTAACTACATGCTGTCTGCCCTGATACAGTGTTCCGCTTGTACATTCACATTGCGTACTATGCAGTCACCTGTAAAGATGTTACTCTCACATTAGTTCAGGTCTTCACTTGATGCTTTACACTCCACCCATTGTGAACCCTGTTCACATTCAGGCCCAGTGCTGTAATGGAAGCGAACCAAGCAACTACCTGGAGCATCTCATTTTATGAATATTTTCTTTCTTAATGCTGTTCTTTTGTTCATATCATGATCATTAATTGGCAGTAAGCTAAACATGCTGTGTATCTTTGTAATTAAAACTGTTTTACAAATGATGAAATGATGGTTTTCATCACAGTGCCAGGAAGTTTTATTATTATGATGAAGTTTCGTGGAAGTTAATCTCTTCTTGCCTGTGGGAGAGATTCTTATCACCTGTGATGACAGAAATTCTTGCCATCTGCAACAGTGGAATTTCTCATGAATTTAGTTGGCACTAGGCTTATGCTAGTTCTGCTTCCAAGCACATACATTTTTTGCTTAATAAATTTTATGTGATTTTGGTGCATGGGCAGCTGAAGAGAGAAAATTTTCATGTATATTTATTTGTGGTTCATTTAAGGATGCTAACACTAGCTTAGACGATATAGTGTTAAATGGTGGCATGAACAGTGAAAAAGGAAATTTTAAGGATGTGGAAGTGGCTAAACTTAAGATACTGTCACACAGGAAACCTCAGTCATGATAGCCAGTGTCCCAGCCAAGATTTGAAGTGGCCACCTTCCAGTGTAGTATTACTGCTTGATCCAGCGTGTTCAGTTATGTTTGATATTTTATGCTTCTTTATCACCTCCCTGCTTACAGTTTATCTTGGGAAGTTTTCTGCTTAGTAATTCTTGGATGTCAATATTTTCACAAAACATCTCTCCTGAGATGGGATGCAAGGATGCGGATTGGATTGATTTGGCTCAGGATAGAATCCATTGAAGTACTTCTAAACATGGCAGTCACCCTTAAAGTTCCCTAGAAGGCACTGAATTTCCTGTATTATGAGCCTCTCAAGAATTCCATGGTATTGATTACTTTATGGAAGATGGAAGTATGTGCCCCATCACTGAAAGTGTTTTTACTCTCAGCTTGCTGCCTTCTTTTTAGTTTTCCCTCGCAATTCTGATCTTCCCTTTTGCACGCCAATTGTATCTTTTATGTGTCATATCATTTTGTCATAGTGCTGTGTTTGCAGGCCTGTTTCTGAAAGAATTTGAGTTGGACATAGAGAAGGCATTTCGTAATGTTGGAAAGCTTGAGAGTAAGAAAGAAAGTATGTGCAAGACATCACATGTGGTGTACTCTGGTGTAAGGAATGTGAAGCATCTTGATGATATTGAGTCCCCAGCCCATGCCATCATGCAGATTCAGGTGAGTGCGATGGTGGGGACAGTTGAATATGAACTGTCTTGGCAGCCCTCACTACCCTTCCTGGATTAGACTTTCATGAAATTTGAGCTGGAGATCACTGCCAAAATTTATGGACCAGATTTTCAATTTTAACTGCTAATACTCTATAACCGTGTTCATAGAACTGTAGGATGAAGACCACAGCCAGTGCACATACCAGTTTTTAATCAGTCTGCAGAGTATTAGAAGAAATATTATTTTCATAATGCAGGGTCACATCAGTAGGACCTATAATGAGGTTGTATAAACTTTGTATAAATGCTAGTTCTGGTGGCTACCCATAATATCCAAAAATGGCTAAGTACATTTCTTCAAGTATGTAAGACTTAAGCTATTTATTTTCAGTCTCATTATGCAATTTCCATAAAGGTGTCATGTCTGAATCATTATTGCCGCTCTCTTGTATTTCATTTGCTTGTTTGTTGCATATGGTGTTCTTGATGGTGAATGAAAGTGTTCTTGGTAGGTTGAATGATTCATTCACCCCAATATGTGTAGATTTTTGGAGCAGACATGTTGTCACAGTCCTATGTTTATTGGATGTGGTGTTAGGGGTTGGTGAGTAGTCATGAACCAGTAAACATGACAGTGTGGCAGTAACCACACAGCTATTGAAACATTTACAAAAGTTGCATTAATAAGACTGAAAATATATGACTAACTTCTAACAAACCAAGTCCATATAGCTGAGTCCTCCTTGGAAACCTACCATTTGCTCAGCCACTTGAAGGATTTCCGAACATGTTATGGAACCCAGAGGTTCATTACTGTGTTCACAAGAGCATTCCACTGGTCCCTATCCTGAGCCAGATAAATCCAATCCATACAACCTAATTCTATTTCTCTCTTTTCCCCCATGTATGCTACATGCCCTGCCCATTTCATCACCTTGATCATTCTCAGTATATTTAGCAATGCATACAAGTTGCAGAGTTCCTCGTTATGCAGTTTCCTCCAGCCTCCTATTTTTACATCCCTCTTCGGTGAGGATATCTTCCTCAGTATTCTATAGTTGTCAGAAGAAGAGTCACATGTTTGGAACAGGTTTTATTGTTAATAAAATAAGGAAGCATCTTATTTTAGACTTCGAAGCAAAATTTCACAGAACATGTAGGTTACGAATTAAGGGAAGTTTTTTAACTGTAGCCTTATTTGTGCACATGCCCCACTGAAGATAAAAGTGATGAGGAGAAAGACTCCTTTTATGATGAACTGGATGAAATATACGGCGAATGTCCAAAAATGGACTGTAAAATAATCACAGTGGACATGAATGCTAAAGTGGAGAATGAGGATGTATATTGATCGGTTACCGGAAAACATAGCCTACATAACCAGTCAAACGATAATGGGATGAGATTAATAAATTAATTTTAATGGGCCTGATTTTTTCATGGATACCCCAAATTCAGTGAGAATATTGTACAAAAATTCCCTCCTAACTGAATCTAGGCTTTCTTGAAATATATCAATAGCTGATATACTGCACCATTGTACTCCCATTTCTTTTTCAGTATGCAGCAAACAAAAAAATTTCATCTGTGGTTGGTTTGATATGCCACAACCCACACTGATGATGCCCAGTAATTTAGTTTACATGTGGACTTAACCTTGAGAATAGAATATTGGATGATAATTTGTATGAAGTTGGTGCACTGGTATGCCTGAATAATAATTGTAGTCAGTTTGCCTTCTTGTAAATTAGTGCAGTTGTAAACTTCCACTGATGAGGCAGTTTCTTCTTTATTCCAAACACAATGAGTTTATGGATATCAGAATATGTTTCACCTCCTTGAACACATTCTGCCAGAGTTTGATCAGTAAAAAGTAAAGTAAATTTACAGTTTTCATTTCGTGCATCCTGTTGTGTTATTATATACAGTTCTTTATTGGAGTCCGTCACAACACAAAACACAACACAACACACCACACCACACCACACCACAACAAATGCCAGTCAAGCAAGCAGCATATATAAATACACGTAAGCTAAAACTACTGAACTGCAATGCTAATATATATTTTAATAAGAAGTGCTTAGCTGAGAACTTGACACCAAAATATGCACTAACGAAAACGAAAGTAAATCCACATAACCTGAGCTAATTTTTGCCTTGACCATTGTATTGTTGTGTTGTGACGGATTCTAATAAAGAATTGTAAGTAAAGTAAAGGTATCCTTGTAACAGGCCGTGGACGCCCATAGGGTTGTGAGATGTTGAGGTTCCCACATTTTATAGACAATCGGCTCATAGATGGCAACAAGGTTGTCAGCCCTACATGCTGGCCACCCTTTACCCCCAAGAATATTCCTGGTACTCATTTCTGTTAGAGGCTGAGTTGACCCCAGGGCCATAGTGTGGCTGGAAGGATTAGGTCAATTGAAAAAATCCAATGACCTCATCGGGGAATTTGATCAGTACATAACTATTTAACACTTTGCAGTTGTCATTTCAACCTGAAAAGAACTAGACTTAAATACTAATGGCTCAGCTGTATTTATTTCCCTCTGCTTAACCCCACTGGCCATGTATACATTCACTAGATGAGAGAAGAAATTCTTCCACCTCTTCTGAATGTTCAGCTACTTTGACAGGTTCATTTATGTAGCCAATTGTTTCAGCTAGTACTTCAGTCTCTTGGAATTTGAATCAGTGCTGTGTTCTCCCACTGTGGACTTGTCTAGCTGATACAGACGTAGGTATCGTTTAACATTAAATGAGGGAAAAGCTTAATTCAGAGAACATAAAATGGGAATTTCACTGCATTATGTTTTTGGATGCGGTGATGTGTAGTCTGGTAGGACACCACAAACATTTTAGAGGAATGTAGTGCCTTTTTCTTGAAGGTCAAAGCTTCTTCTACCCTGAAGATGGGGGCAGCACATTCCTCTTAAGTGTCAGTAAATATCTACAAGCCAACAGCCATACCACGTTGAAAACACCGGTTCTCCTCCGATCACCGAAGTTAAGCAGCTTTGGGCGTGGTTGGTACTTGGTTGGGTGACCGCTTGGGAACACCACGTGCTGTTGGCACTTCATTTGGCCGCGCCATAGCTCAAGCGATTAGTTGCTGGCTTCCCATCGCAGCGGCCCGGGTCCGGTCAAGTGGGATTTGTGGTGGACAAAGTGGCGCTGGGGCTGGTTTTCTCCGAGTATTTCGGTTTCCCCTGCCAATCTTCATTCCACCGATTGCTCCACAATCACCCTCACCTATCATCTGGGGCTGGTACAATAGGCCAGAAGTGGCCATAGTGCAAGGGACTTAGTCCCACCCCACTAGCAATAAAAAAATATCTACCAAATTATATCGTGTCACACCACAGAAGAGTAATCTTCATAGTCACTGCTTGAGAATCTTACAGATAATTACAGTTTGCACATCACTGATTTTATTGTGCAGAATATGATATGGGGGCTGCTGGATGGTGACACCTGTGTTGTGACTGAGCAGCAGGTGTGGGTGACACTGGATGTTGTTCAAGGAGCTCTCTGTAACCGCTCAGATCTGGTTCCTTCAGCTGAGAGATTGTTGCCATCTCTGGTCCTGGATCTTGCACTGTTGCTAGGTGAGTTCTGTGGCAGATGCACATGTGTTTCAAGCAGTGTTCTGACCTGCTGTTTCCTTCTCACATTTCCTCCCCAAGTGGTATCTTATTCTACTTGTGTATAAACAATGAAACTTTGATTGTATAATCCTGGATTTTACATTTTTTTACAAGTTCACATATATTCTACATGGTTATAGCCAATTACCCATGACAGTAGTGCTAAACTTTGGCAGATTTTATGTTACTGCAACTTTACCTTATCCATGAATATGTACTTCATTTTTTTAGCCCTGGCTGTGACAGTTTACCCAATTTTAAATTCCGTTGTTTAGTTATCACAATTTCCTGTCCAATACAATGGACCTCCTCCCCTGCAAGTGGTCACAAATAGTTCAGTCTGAAAATACATACTCTCAAGTGGCTGATGCTCAGTGCGCATTAGGCCAAATTAAACCTGTTGTGTCTTAGTATACCAGTAACTCAGTGAGTGTATTTTTTCTCACATACGAGGTGTGTTCAAAAAATGACGGGAATTTCCGTATTTTGGGAAAAATATTTATTCATTCGTCTACATTAATGTTGTCGCCTTCAAAATAGTCCCCATTCGATATTATGCACTTACGCCAGCGCTTCTTCCAA